AGCATGGTGTCCGTGCCCCAGAGGACGTCAGGTGTGACAAAACGTTTTGGGAGCAGCTTGCTGTGAAATCATCGCGCAACTGGAAGTCATTTTTTACATTTTGTTTCTTCTACCGTCTGATGATTGCCATTAGCATCTGGGAATAATGCGCATGTTGCCCCTTCTGTAACCAGAAGGTCATACATTTCTGGTAAGCCTTGCATGGTGTTACCTATCCTATAGCTGCCATTTGGAGCAGCACACTATTCATCATTATTTCAACTTTTGGGACTTTAATATATTTTCTTTTATTGCACCTGTGGTTTGGAATTTCAGTTGATTAGCACTATACATATATCATTCATTGATGTATAGCATCTTTATATTTAACTTTCATTCACCTATGAATTAGCACAGCACTCAATTTTTATATATTTTATGGATGTAAAACAGATGTAAACTGAATTGAACTGAACTGAACTGAAAACTGATGTAAACTGAATCTGTTTTTTCTTTGAAGATGGATGACACCTGTGTGAAAGGAGCATTATGGAATTTTCAGTTGCTACATTTAATTCAACCTGTAATGTATGGGAAAGATGACCAGCAGTCACCACTACTTCTAGATCAATGAAATCATGGTTATTAAAATCAAGTAGGCTGGTTTTATTAACAGAAGCTGTCATTAGGATGTGATTAATGCTATAGACAAAAAGATTTTTATTTTATTTACTGCTTAAAGTAGCCATTATACATATATTTTGCATTTGTTCTCTTATAATATGGAATACCTGATCTATGATTTCTGTTAAAGTAGAACTATAGGTGAAACTTTTTTTTTTAGTTTTGAATAATGTGGAGAAGGTTTAGAACCCCTTTTCAGTTTTTATTGCTGTCTGTATCCCTGTTGAGGAGATTCACCCTTTCTATTTGTTCTGTTTACCATTATCATTTAAAGTGAAAGTAAAGTGGGTTGTCCTCAGAAAAGTAATAGAGGGGACATTGATGGGAAAACTAGTTCTGATGAGCTGGGGGTCCCCAAGGGATTCCTTTAATTTGTAAGGATTTCCTCTCACTTTCTCTTTTGGCTATGGGACATAGGAAGTGAAGAGAAAACTCTGTAATGGGACACAGATGGCGAACAAAAATCTGACAGGGGTTATAACCCTCCCTTGCTCTATCCAAAATGAAAAAAAAGTTTTGCCTATAGTTCTTCTTTAACAGAAATCATAGATCAGGTATTCCATATTAGAAGAGAACAAATGGAAAATATATGTGAAATGGAACCACATTTTAGGGCTAATCCACACCAGCCGCTGTGTTACAATGCAGTGGCTGGTATGTGGTGTGGCCTGGTGGGATTGCCATAATGGAACTGTCCACTTTTATAATGAACTTCACTGAAATGTCACTGCTGGCTGTGCAGTAAGAGGTGGTGGATTGCCTTGCACTGCACTGGGAAAAAGTACTGCATGCAGTACTTTTTTTTTCTTTTTTACCACACACCACCACAATGCTGTGGTGTGGACCGGGCATACAGAAGATAAGGCATTTTGACTTGTCATGCGGTGGGACTGTGCTGGATTGTCCGCCCAATGCAGTCCCGCTGCATCTGCTGTTAACAAACCCTTACAATCAAAGCAGAACTAAACCGTAACCTAAACGTTTCCTATCCAGTTGCAGATTGCCCCTAGCTGTTGTGTGGACTTTTTAATGCTCAATACTTACCTTCTTGGCTTTAGATGTCCAGTGCCTTGACCAAACAAACTTCCCTTGGCGGCTTCAGGTTCCATGCCTGCACCGTACTCTTGGGTGCACATCCCTCCTCCATAACACTGATATCCCATGATGTCTTGCCTGGTGCAATCAGACCTGTAAGTGCTTGCACAATTACACCAGATTGAAGTGTACATGAAGCATGCATTGCTGTTCCTACTTAGGAAGCTGCTTAGGAAGTGTTGAAATCCTAAGACCAGAAGTATAAAAATTGGCAGTATCACCAGTTTAAAAAAAGTGCATACTGATAAAAGAAGCCTGAATAAATCACACCACTGGATTAAGCGGGAGAAAAGTTTTTAGACTACATTCATATGGCCACATGGGTGAGGATAGTTTACTGCATTAACAGGTGGCAATATGCTGCCCCTTGATTCAGCAACACTGAGCATAAAATACTTTCGATTAGTAGTAGCCAGAACTTCAGAAACGGAGTTTCTATTCACATGTAACCATGCAGATGAGTGGTTACATGCAAAGAGCAGTAGCCCTGGCCATTGATTTGTACAGGGTACAAATCGGACACCCACCACTGACAGTTGCAGCTGGTCGCACACAGAGTGTGCAGACAGCATTTAGTGCCACCAGCAAGACTCTACTGTTCAGACATGTAAATGTTGCCCAAGATAGACTTTACAGCAAAACTCCACACAAAATACAAAGCTTGACATACACATATGTGAACTGTTTTACCATAAAAATATCTTAGATTATTTTCAGCCATTCTTGTGATTAACAAATACCTGCAACACTGCACAGCCAGGATGTGGCACCACAGTTTACTTTTGCAGCTTAACATGCCAGTTGTGTATTTACTATACTATTGAAAGGCACAGGTATCTTCACATTGCTAAGATTCTTCCCATGTTCTTTTCTTCCTGTAAGCTAACTAAACACTTCACCATTCAGTTATCAGTGTTAGAAAATGTAAGCTTGGCAGAACTGTGCAATTTAATGTAACAAAGAAAGAAAAGTTCACAATGCATAAACTCTAAATAACATGTCTGATAACCATCGAGTAAAGCATTGTGGGAAGATATAGACAAATATATAAAGTGTTTCTCCAGTCTAAAATGACAAACAGTTATTTAAAAGTTTCCCACAAAATACTGACAATATGTGGTGTTTCACAATCTTAGATTTTACATACTTTTTACCTGTTTAGCCTTCCGTTCCTATGAATAACATCTCATTCCTGTGCCAGGCTAACAACTGGGATTAGCTGCTAATACAATTGCTCATCTGCCAATGAGCAGTACTTTGAAGCTTTGCTGCAACATTAATATACATATCTTTTTCTCAAGTCAAATGCTTCCCATCACTGTGCATGCTCTGTATTTTTGCCTAAGAGGTAGCAGCTTTGTCGAAACTCAGGCAGAAATATAGCTCAAGCACAGTGAGACCTGAGATGAAGACATGATTACTAATACAGCTTTTTCCCTCCTGCTACCTACGTCAGCCCTTAGGATAATCTCTGCCACCAGGGAAGAAGGAAAGGAGCAGCAGCAATAGTTAGCAGTCACCTAACCGCATATAAACAATTAAAAGAAAAAATATTTAGTTTGCAAATTTAAAAAATAAATATGGGAGAATGCAAAAGGACCCTATTAAAGCAATTCTAAAAGCCCATTTTTTTATTCAAAATAAAAAATTTGTTATACTTACCTATTCTTTGCAACAACATTGCACAGAGCAGTCGCTTACCTCCACTTCTGGAATCCCCTGCCAGCACTGTCTACCCCATCTTCTTACAAGTGCTCTCTCAGCAAGTAGTGTGCTAAGGGGGCACTCCTGAGCCGGGTTGAGTGCGCCTATTGGTGCACACAGTGCAACTCGACCATGCCCCCAGCTCCTTCCTCACAGGATTTGACTAACTGCAGTGGGAGATGTGGGCACTCAGTGTGTCCTGTGAAAGCAGGAAGAGAAGGAGCAGTAATGCAGCCAGGGACAGTGCTGGACCGGTGAAGAGAGGCTGGTTAAGTGTTTAGGGATTGGGGGGGGGGGGTCAGGTAGTGGGGTGTTGTTTACATTGATGCATAGAATGCATAAAGGTAAAAAACACTTAGGCTTTACAACCACTTTAAGTACTATCTGGGCCATAGGGTCACAGATACATGTACATTAGGGCAGTTAACAGAATATTAATAGTAAACTGTCAAAATAGAAAACCTGGTGCTAGCTATAGGTCCATCATATTTACCCTTCCTTGATTGACACTGTCCTGAAACAAGCATGTCTACATTAGATGCTAGAATTTCCGATATGGAATTGGTCAATGGCCCACTATGTAGTAAAACAAAGGAAAGGATCAGGGATGAACTTAGATGTGTTTGGATCTTAATCTGAACCTGCCTGATCTATATCAGCAGGAAGTTGTCCCAACAGACTGCCAATCATAAGTGGCTGAGGCATTCCCCAGCCTGCAGCCACATATATACACGTCCATTGTATACATGAGACTGCAGAGAGGGTAATGCCTTGATCACTTATGATTGCCGGTCTGCAGTGACAGCTTCGTGGCAAGATAGTTTACGTGGGTTCATGCTAGGATCTGAACAAACCTGAGTTCATCCTTAGTAAGGGTTACAGCCCTGCATAAAACACTGTCAAAATTAAATCCGCATTAGCAGCTCCCTTTAAAATAAAGTTCAAGATTTTAATGAATAACTGTTTGGAGTTACGTTTGCATGACAAAGAATACTATGCTTTCATTGAGGATATGTTCACCAATATCATTGTAATGGTAATGATATTTGAAATGCTTACTTACTGTGTTTTTCCTTTCCATATTTTTTTTTTCTCATTTTTTCGGAATGTGTGTTTGAACTTGCTAGAAAATGGGACTACTCCAAGAAGAGTCAATTTTCTACCACTAATACATGTATATCCAGATAAGATGGTGCAGCGCTAAATAATAGTACACGATTAATACACACAATATGCTAATGAAAACTTATGCGAATACGATGCGAATGGATATACATGTATTATTGGAGGTTTTTTCTTGGTTACCTTTTCGGTGTATCAGCTGCTTATTAACTTTGTTGTGTATACATATTTATACACACTTTCACTTTTGTTTTAAGGTAGCGCTCACTAAACACCCTTTACTAATTTCCTACCACTGCCCCTTCACTCCTTGCACATAATAGATCTTACGTGTCCCCTGACTGACAGCTTTGATTATGATTTCATGAAGCATATCATGTCAAAAAGCAGTTATTTTTCCACTTCATTGCTCTCACCTGATTTAAGTATTTACGATAATCCTGGCGCAATTCTTCCTTCAGTTTATGCTTTTTCCTCTCATAGTCCTCTCCAAGAGGCAAACTCAATCCATAACCAACGTCTAGAAGAACAACATTAAAAAAATCAACAGCTGCAGTTCACGCTACTTACATTGTCTGATTCAAATGTAGAGAGGTATGTACTCCCAATGAGGTCTCCAAGTGCCATGGGCGCAAGGGAAAGCAACCAGAAAGAAGAGCACCTCAAAGAATAAACTCACCTTTGGGAACATATAACATGTTCCCAATTATGCAGCCGCCACCCGCTCCCCCCCCCCTTTGACAGAAGTATGGATAGAAGTTCCCCGTACTATCTGTCAAATTTGAAATCAGCATGGCTGTTTCATTCATTCGCAGACTTCCGTGAATGAATTAACTGCAAGTTCCGACTGTCTTAGCGGCTGTGGGCTTGTAGTTTTCAATGAACTACCAAGGCGCTGTGGAGCACCGTGGTAGTTCATTGAATCTTCCTGTCAGTATATCTTCTTGCTCGTACATCCCATACGGGCATTCAGACATGCTGATAGATCTGCAAGAGACCTGCATGGCATCAGAGATTTGCTGATCACTGGTGCAATGTTTTATAGGTTCCTGCAGACAAAAATAATAAATGTACATTTTTTTACATTATTATTTTTGTGCAAAAGGTGAACTCATCCTTTAAAGCCTTTGTTTCTTTATCGTACATCACAGAACACAAAGCAGGCTATTCATAAGGGTTAAAGGCCACCAATAGGTGAATGGACACTGGCCGACCAATCAGAGAGGAGGTCCTATATAACCCCTTCTATACAGAAAGTACCTCAGTTTTTGTAGCAAGCAATGACAGTCCAGAAAGAAGGGTCTGTAAAGTCGATGGTCATGGAAAGTGTTGCTGTGCTCTTGGAGCATACCTGAAAGTCCACAACAGTTCCATTAGAGAATTAAGGACTTTAATTGGATCCATTCGGAAGGTTATGAGCTAAAATGGATGGTACCTGAGCCTCACTGGATAAAGAGAAGAAGCCTCAAGGTTTTGCCTGTAATGCAGCCTTACGGCACTGGACCCCGTGCAGATGGAACCCTGTGCAGTTTTAAAATCTGACCAAGGTGCTTCCAGCGGGGAGCTATAAGGGTCCGAGGCAGTAGCCCCTCAACATGGGGACTGAGTCCTTGAAGGTCTGTATAACAATGTCCGCCGTGATGGTTGAAGGTTGCTGCCTGACAGAAGTCAGGAACCTGCGGCGGGACTGGTAAGATATCTCCTTTTTTTCTCTATCTCTCTCTCTGTAAAGAGAAACAAACAAAGCTCTAAATTGGAGGGGAAAGGACAGGTGTTGTGACTGTTTCCACCAGGAGGAGTGCTCACTGTTGTTTATGAGATGTGCTTGCTCTTTTTTGTTTTCGCCCACTAGAAGGAGTGCGAGCGGAAACAGAAGTTGGCCATATTTTGTTTATCTGGAGGAGGATACATGTGGGCTGCTGCTGGGAAATCTCTTGTGGCCTGGACATGGAGTGGGCTTTTCAGTGGGGGCATGTGAGTACTCCATTGAGGAGAAGCATGGACCAGTCAGTCAGGAGCCACCCTAGGTGGTTCATAAGGCAGCATTTGCATTGAGTGTTTTTTCAGCACACTACTTGCATAGCTGTATCATTGTGATCTGTGTTACTAGTGGAGCTGCACAGGTTTGCGCTATCTGAAGTAATATCTTCCAGAAAGTGGACTAGAGGAGATGCAGCAGGAAAGGGCACTAATGTACCATCGTCAGGTCCTGAGGAACCTAGCCGAAGGTCCGTTGTAATATCCTCTCCTGACAGGCCCAGAAACGAATGGGCAGTCTGAGCCGCTGCATCTATCTGGCATTGTGGCTGCTACGGGGGCTTCTGCCTCAGCATATGTAACCAAGGATGATCTTGCTTCAGCCTTAGCAGGTTTAGAAGACAAGATCGCGGGGATGATTGCATCAGTTTCTCAGGGGACTAAGAAGCAGGACAGATCCCCATCACTAGATCCACCAATCATGGAGCAGGAATGAGTGGAGCCTGAGGATGAGGAAGAGCTGGAGGAAGGTCAGGCAGTAGAATTTCTGTCTGAGGAGTCACAGCCTGAGGAGAAGTACGTTAGGAGGTCTCTGCCTCCCAGTCTCAGAGATTTTTACTCCAAGACCTCAATGATATGGTATGGTCTGGATTCAGGCTACCTCTGACAGAAACCTCTGAGGTTACTTATTCTTCCTGGGGTCTTTGAAGACTTCACAGAGTACTCAGGTCTTTCCGGTATATCCTCTTCTGGAGCAAAGTATGTATTCTGACTGGGATCACCCAGGCAGGGTTTTTGTTCCACCAAAGCGATTTTCTGTTTTGTACCTTATGGAACAAAAGTTTGCCTGTAGTGGATGCAGCTTTTTCATCCCTGAATAAATCTTTAACATGTCCTGTGGATAATGTACAGGTTTTCAAGGACCCAGCAGATAAGAAGCTGGAGCCCTTCCTTAAGGCCTCCTTCTCCCTGGCAGGTTCTGCCACACAGCCAGCTGTGGCAGCTATTGCCATGTGCCAGAATCTTTCTGACAATGTCAAGCAACGGATTGGAAGATCATCAGTGCAGGGGGAATGCTCGGCCGAGGATTTGGAGGCTGTTCCGTGTGCTTTGTGTTTCGCGGTTTATGCTTTTAATGATTCAATGCAGCAAATTTCTCACTTGGCCCTCTTATCAGTACACATGTGCAGGGTTTTGTGGCTGAAGAGTTGGTCAGCAGAACTACCATGCAAAAAATTGTTGGCAGGTATAACCTTTCATGGGGAAGAACAGCTGTTTGGGGAAGATTTGGACAAATATAACCAAAGGATTTCAGGGGGTAAAAGTACTCTTCTACCCTCTAAGAGGGCTCTTATCTATCAGGCAGTCATTTCGCCATGCACAGGTCCCAGACTCCAGAGGTAGATCTCAGAATCAAAACCCAAGGAGGTCCTGGGTGCAAAAGTCATCTAAGACAGATCCAAAGTTCACCTCCTAATGAAGGGGTGCCCCCACTTGTTCAGGTGGGGGGGGGGACTTTTGAATTTTGTGGCCGCATGGAGGGCTCTAATCCAAGGAAAATGGGTCATTTCCATGATTTCTCTGGGGTACAGACTAGAATTTCGGGTATTTCCCTCTCCCCGGTTTCTAAGATCAAATGTACCAACAAATCCAGAGCTTTATTTCAGGCACTCAATTTCCTATTGTCTCAAGGAGTAATCACGGAGGTTCCAGAGGACAAAGGTTTCAGGGATTTTTTTTAAACCTGTTTGCAGTCCAATAACCAAATGGGGATGTAATGCCCATTTTGGATCTTAAGGGGCTAAATCAGCTCCTATATGTCTGATCCTTTCGTATGGTTCGGTCAGTAGTGGTCTCCCTACAGGAAGGAGATTTTTTGGTGTCCACAGACATCAAGGACACATACCTGTATGTACCGATATTCATTCCTCACCAAAGATTTCTGCAGTTTGCAGTAGGGGCTCAGCATTTCCAGTTCATAGCAATACCGTTTGGGCTGGCCTGGGCTCCCAGAGTTTTCACAAAAATTCTTGCTCCTGTGTTGGGGCTACTCAGAACTCGGGGAGTATACGTCACAGGTTATCTGGACAATCTCTTGCTCAGAAATCGGTCGGTGCCAGATCTGAAGCTGGATGTGGTCCTTCAATTCGCCTCTGTATGAGGTTGCTGGGGAAGATGGTGTCCTTGTTTGAGGTGATTCGCTATGCTCAATTCTACTCCAGACTGCTGCAAAGGTACATTCTGTCTGAAACTAAAAGATTCCGGCCCTGGATTACTGCATATTTCCAGAGGTGCAGCATAGCCTGAATTGGTGGTTGATAACTCACAATTTGGAGAAGGGAAGATCCTTTTGGCCAGTGGTGTGGAAGCTGATAACCACCGATGCAAGCCTTTTAGGTTGGGGGCCATTTTGGAGGAGGCCACAGTTCAGGAAGCATGGCTTGCACGGGAGAGGATTCCTCCCATCAATGTTCTGGAACTTTGAGCAGTGAGGCTGACTCTAAGATACTGGACATCCAGGCTTCAGGGTTGGCCTGTAAGGATTCAGTCCGACAATGTCACAGCATTTGCATACATCAACCACCAGGGCGGTACCAGGAGTTGAGGTGCTCAGAAGGAAGTGAACTATATTCTGACCTGGACAGAGAGATATGTTCCAAGTCTGTCAACAGTGTTCATTCCAGGTGTGGAAAATTGGCAGGTGGATTATTTCAGTCGCCGGCAGTTGATTCCAGGGGAATGGGCTTTGCATCCCGATGTTTTCAAGGAAATCTGCAAGTGATGGGGTTGCCCAGATGTAGATCTATTGGCACCCAGGTTTAACAACAAGGTCAGTCTTTTTGTGTACAGGTAAGGGACCCTCGCGTAGCAGAAGTAGACGCCTTAGTGATTACTTGGAACCAGTTTTCACTGATTTATGCCTTTCCTCTGATCCAGCTGCTGCCACGTCTCTTATGCAGGATTCAGGAGGAGTCTATTCTGGTGATACTGATTGCTCCGGGAGGGCCTGGTACGCAGACATAGTGAGGATGGAAGTAGATGGGCCGTGGGCCCTGCCGTATCGGCTAGACCTGTTGTCTCACGGTCCTATATTGCACCCAGCTTTACGGTCACTAAATTTGATGGTGTGGCTATTGAAACCCAGATCCTGAAGGGATTCTGTCATCCCCATTATGTTGGGTGCGAGAAAGGATGTTTCTAGGAACATTTATTACAGAACCTGAAGGGCTTATATTGCCTGGTGTGAGGTTCCCAAATGGCATCCACGAACGTATGTGATTGGCAGGAATCTGTTGTTTCTTCAAACAGGGTTGCAGAAGAATTTGTCTGTTGGTACCATTAAGGGCCAAGTTTCAGCATTAGTTATTTTTTTCCAGAGGACCATTGCATCTCACTCTTTGGTCCGCACTTTTTTACAAGAAGTAATGCGTATGGTTCCTCCTGTCAGGTTGCCTTTGTGTCCTTGGGACCTAAACTTGGTTTTGAAGGTTTTGCAAGCCACCATTTGAACCTATTGGAGAGATTCTACTGGTCCTGTAGACTCGTAAGGTTTTGCTTCTAGTGCCAATCACTTCTGAGAGAAGGGTGTTGGAGCTGGTAGCTCTATCTTGCAGAGAACCACTTCTGGTTTTGCATCATGATAGGGTGGTGTTGTGACCTCATCCATGCTTTTTACCAAAGGGAGTTTCTAGCTTTCATCTCAATCAAGACATAGTTCTGCCTTCATTTTTTCCTAGGCCTCAGTCAGCAAGAGAAAGATCTCTGCATACCACATACCATGTGGTGCTGTAAGGGTCTTCTTGAAGATGACAGCACAAGTCATGAGCTGATTTAGCCCCTTAAGATCCAAAATGGGCATTACATCCCCATTTGGTTATGGGACTGCAAACAGGTTTAAAAAAAATCCCTTGGTGCAATCCGCCATCAGGCGTCAGTGGCTCAGGTTTGCAAGGCCACTACATGGTCTTCACTTCATACATTCACAAGGTTCTACCCGGGTGGATATCAGGGCCACAGAGGATTCTGCCTTTGGCGCAGTGTTTTACGGACAGCTGAGTAGGTCCTGAGGGATTATTGACAGCGGCTATCATGGTGTCACCCTCCCCTCAAATTTCTTATTGCTTTGGGACATACTACATAGTCATGAATAGCCTGCTCTGTGTCCCGTGATGTACGATAAAGACAATTGGATTTTTTCTACATACTTACCTGTAAAATTCAATTCTTGGAGTACATCACGGGACACAGAGGTCCCACCCCATTTTCTTGAATGTCATTGCTTGCTACAAAAACTGAGGTACTTCCTGTATAGAAGGGGTTATATAGGGGAGAACCTCCTCTCTGATTGGTCAGCCAGTGTCCATTCACCTATTGGTGGCCAATAACCCACATAGTCATGAATAGCCTGCTCTGTGTCCCATAATGTACTCCAAGAAATGGATTTTACAGGTTAAGTATGTAGAAAAAATCCAATGTTTATTTGTAACCAGGTTAACACATTTTATCAGCTTACGTCAAAAACACAATTCTGATATTCTTCATCTGCTTTCTGCATGTGCCATTTAGCTATTACTTTGATTTGCTGGCTTCTAGAAACATAATATGACATCAGCTGTCTTCTTACAGCTGCAGTAAAACAAACCGACCTGTCTGCTCTCAATGGTTTTTAAAATCTACACTGATAGTACCTCAGTGTACATTCTCTGCATGCCTCAGTGCCAGAATGAATAAACTCTTGTGCGCATGCATGGAAATTGAGTCATTCTGGCCTGGCCAATCAAGATGACCAAAGATCCAGAACCTAGAAGACCAGGTAAATTAAAATGTTGGTACTGTCTAGGGAAAAAGAGGAAATGCATTGAGTTCCATTTTAACCAAAGAGACTGGGACTGGATGAATCAAGAGTAGTATTAAACTAACGCTAGGAAAGTAGGATCTATAGATATCAAATAAAACAACACAACAATTCCTAGGTCATTCTGGATTATACCTCTGTTTTACTGGAGCGGTTTCTTTCTGAGACTGTCTGTTTGGGGGAATGTTTTCTTTTGAAGCGTAGGCCTTTGGTCTGTCTGCATCTTGTGTATTCTCTAATTTCTTGCTCTAAAACATACAAAAACATTTTTAAAATAGAACAAGTAACTTTTAATAAGTATATTTTTAACTGTAATTCTAAAAAAAAAATAGCATACTTTTTCAGTTACTTTTTGTTGTTCATACTAAAAAAAATTCTACTAAAATACAAACTGAATAAAAGCTGATTCCTGTTAGACAACTTCATCAGTAAAAACTGCATAAAAGGAAGGTAATAATACACCCAAAGTTACCAATTCTAGCTGTCATTTCCTTTTAGCCAAGGTTAGAACAGGAAGATAATTGAGGAGCGTTATGGGCAACCTTTTCTTTACTTTAGCAATAATGCGAGGTTAGATACCAAACAGGTGTGATGACAAGCATGACCATATATTGAAAACCAACTCAGAGTATGCACTCAATGTACAACCACTTCAAGGCTACAACAATGAAATTCTGTATAAAACAATTAGGCATGGTTCACACCTGTGCACTTTTATGTGTTTTACAACACACAAAAAATTAATGTCATGAAAACACATTGTTTCCAATAAGGCCATTCACATCTGCACCCTGCATTGTGAAAATGAGGCATGTCTGATATTGTATGTATTTACCTGTGATTTTTTTGCCCAAATGCAAATACATTCATAGGGCACAAATGTGTAAGTAAACAGTGACTGCACCACATGTTATATATCACTATGAGGCCAGCATGAGAGCCATAATTCTAGGTCCCTCTAGTTTCTAGGTTTACTTTAAACCAATGGCTGTCAAGGCATTTAACCAATTCTAGTCCAGGCCAATTCTGACACCCCTCTCATACATGCAAAAAAACATAATTTTTTTGCTAGAAAACTACTTAGAAATCCCAAACATTATATATTTTTTTAAACAGAGGCCCTAGATAATAAAATAGTGGATGTTGCATATTTTTTATGTCACACAATATCTGCGCAGTGGTTTTTTTGGAAAAAAATACACTTTATTGAATTTTAATGCACAAAAACACAATACCCAATTATTTGGTGAAATCGAAAAGATAATGTTACGGTGAGTAGATACCAAACATGTCACACTTTAAGTGGTTCTAAAAGCAGAAGGCTTTTTACCTTAATGCATTCTATGCATAACAACATCCCTTGTTATAGCATGGGCTGTGACAGGTCCTCTTTATGGAGAGATCTGGGGTCTATCTGGCCTCTAATTGGTCTGATCGACTGGTTCACTAGCATCAGTTCCTCTCACTATGTACCAGGAGTCAGATACCACTGGTCACAGCCTTATTGGGCTCCCCAATCGCTTGGGACAACCAAATAAATGCGTCAGAGGTGGGAGAATTGCAGTCCCCCTTCCACCTCCTGTAAAAGTAATCCAGCGGTCAACACTGCAGTTGCCGCAAGATACAGTGAGTAAAATAAGTATTGAACACGTCACCATTTTTCTCAGTAAATATATTTCTAAAGGTATTGACATGAAATTGTCACCATAATGTCCTTAACAACCCATGCAATCCATACATACAAAGAGACCAAAACAGATACGTTTATAAATTAAGTTACAGTCATGGCCAAACAAATTTGCACCCTTGCATTTCTGTCAGATAATGCACCACTTTGCCCAGAACGTTGTTGCAATTACAAATGTTTAGCTTGTATTGGTGTGACAAAAACAAGTGGAGAAGCAAAAAGCCAAATCTGACATATGTAACGTAAAACTCCAAAAATGGACTGGACAAAATTATTTGCACCCTCATTTTAATATCTGGTAACACATCCCTTGGAAAAAATAACAAATCAATCACTTCCTGTAACCAACCATGAGTTTCTTCCACCTCTCTACTGGAATTTAGGACCACTCTTCTTTTGCCAACTGCTCCAGGTCTCTCAGATTGGAAGTGTTCCTTTTCCCAACTGCTGTGTTTGAGATCGCACCACAGAAGCTCTATGTGATTGAGATCTGGACTCATTGCTGGCCAGTTCCATATGGTCCAGCGATTTGTCTTAAACCATTTCTGGGTGCTTTTTGACGTGTGCTTGAGGTCTTTGTCCTGCTGTAAGACCCATGACCTCTGATGGAGTCCCAACTTTCTGACACTGGGCCTTACATTGCACCCCGGAATTCTTTGGTAGTCTTCAGATTTCATAATGCCATGCACACAGTCAAGACATCTAGTGCCTGAAGCAGCAAAGCAACCCCAAAACATCAGTGAACCTCCACCATGTTTTGACTGTAGGGACTGTAGTCTTTTCTTTAACCACTTGCCCTCCTGAGGATTTACCCCCCCTTCCTGACCAGGCCATTTTTTGCATTACGGCACTGTGTTACCTTAACTGACAATTGCACGGTCATGCAATGATGCACCCAAATTTAAATGTACGTCCTTTTTTTCCCACGAATTGAGTTTTCTTTTGGGGGGTATTTGTTTGCCTGTGCATCTTTTATTTTTTGCTCTATTAAAAAAAAAAAAAAAAAAAGACTGGCAATCTTGAGAAAAAGACAATATTTTTGACTTTTTGCCATTAAACATGTCCAGTAAAAAAATCTAATTCGTCATAAATTTAGGCCAAAATGTATTCTGCTACATGTGTTTGCTAAAAAAAAAAATCCCAATACGTGTAAATTAATTTATTTAAGTGAAAGTTATAGCGTTTACAAATGGCACTATATATACTAGTAATGGCGGTGATCAGCGACTTATAGAGGGACTGCTGCAGGCATTCTGACACTGGGAAGAACTGACTTAGTGTCACTGACATCTCCAGTGACACCAATACAGTGATCAGTGCTAAAAAAAAAAGCACTGACACTGTACTAATGGCACTGGGCAGGAAGGTGTTAACATGAGGGGCGGTCAAAGGGATAACCTGTGTGCTGTTTTACATAGTGCTGTGTCCCTGTGCTTCACTGTAAGGAAAAAAAAAGCTGGTAATTACTTTTAACCAGAATTGACATACAGTGGCAGACAGTGAGGGAGCCTGAGTGTATACACTGCTCCTCTCCTGCCCCCTCCTTGCACTCACTGCCTGCCCCCCTCATATACTATCACATAGGGGACTATTGGACCCCTATATGATAGCAATAAAATCATAAGTTAAAAAAATAAATAAAAATACACATTAAAGTACACAAAAAAAAATACAAAAAAATTGAGTCTCCCTGCCCCCACATATGCAGACATTTCGGTTTCTGGCCATGTGCATTATGAATTTTCTGTATTGGTTTTGGCACCAGAATTTTCATTTCGGTGTACCACTAGTTGAGACTGAACCAGCTGATATTAATTTGCACTGACAAGGGGCAGGATTGCTGAGAGGCTGAGCCAGCTGATCCCTCCCCCTGCACAGCCCCAGAGCTCCAGTAAGCACTGGAGGGGCTGAGCAGACAGAAAGTGACTGATAGTCCTGCTCTCTGCTCAGAGTGGAGAGGAGAACTCAGCGATCAGCCATCATGCAATTGCTGACTTCTCACCCTTAAAGCCAGCGGGGGACAGATGCAGCATCCACCTAGGTAAGTACAAACAGGGAGAGAAAAAGCCATACTTTTCTTTTAAAGAGTTTATATCTCAAAGTATAATCAACTGGAGAAACTTAGAAAATCCTTCTTAGACTGAATATCAACTTTAAAAGAAATCATTGCAGAATCACAGAACAAAAATATTTGATTTTTCTGTACCTTAATTTCCATGTATGGTGGGTCCTTTTCCAGGGCTGCTTTATCTTGTGCAAGCTTTGCCTTCTGCTCTTCAATAAAATAACCTAAATCATCCCCCATTCTGGAGATATTTCTAATAAAGTAAACAAGATAGTGATCAGTAATCGAAAATAAGACAACAACAGAAACTAAATTACTGTTTTCCCTCATCTACTTGCTGAATAACTAGTCTGTACTTAATCATAGAAAAATTCAATATAAGGAAAACGGAAAACAGGGCTAAAATGAATACACAAGCACAGCTTCAAAATATACTGTCAAAAATGAAACAGACAAAACATTTAGTAATTTGTTTGTCATAGGGGTCTCCATTGGGGAAACTTTTCCTCACTTCCTGTTATGGTGACCTCTGATACTGGAACAGGAAGTGAGGATATTATAACAAACCTGGGCAGTGATTTAAAAAAAAAAAATCAAGAGAAATTCTAAACCTTCCCATTCTATTAAAGTAGAACTATAAAAAAAACTTTTTAAAAATTTTAGATAAAAAAAGGGAGGGTGAAAACCCGTCAGATTTTCTTTCGCCATCTGAGTCCCATTGCGGAGATTTCCCTTCACTTGCTGTCCCATTACCAAACAGGAAGTGAGAGGAAATCCCTGCAAATTAAAGGAATTCCTTGGGAACTCTAAGGTCACCAGAACTAGTGTCCCCATTGAAAGATTTCCCCCCTATTAATGGTTTGGGGACATCCTAAAAGTTAGGATTTTCTTTTACTTTCAATGATAATGGTAAACAGGACAAATAGAGAGGGTGAATCTCCTTAATGGGGGAACAGAGAGCAATAAAAACTAACAGGTATTCTAATCCTATCCAAAACTAAAAAAAAGGTTTGCCTTTAGTTATATTATTATATTGTAAATGATTCAAGTTCAGCCAGTCTAAAATAAATGGAAAATGTATATATATATATATATATATATATATATATATATATATATATATATATATATATAAAAGGAAAGGTAATGGACATGGCCAAGACAATGAGTTTTCCCCTTGAAAACACACAATTTTGAAACAATTGAAAAAGGACATTTTTTTCATCTGTTCATACATGTGTATATGTGATGTTATTAAGGGGAAAACTTGTAGTGTCCATGCCCATATTTATGTTCTTTCATTAAACGAATGTGGTCTGAAAGCAGAACTAAAGGCAAAACTTTTTGTTTCATTTTGGATAAAATAAGGGAGGGTTATGACCCGTCGGTTTGTTTTTTTGCCATCTGTTTCCCATTGCAGAGATTGCCCTTCACTTCCTATCCCATATCCAAAACTGGAAGTGAAAGGAAGTCCCTGCAAATTAAGGGAATTCCTTGGGGACCCCCGGGTTATCAAAACTAGTGTCTCCATGGGAAAATGTCCCCTCTATTACTTTTCTGGGGACAACCCACAATTTAGGTTGCTAAACAGGAAAAATAGAAAGAGTGATTATCCTTAATGGGGGCACAGACAGCAGTGAAATCCTAATAGGTGTTCTAATCCCTCTTCACCCTATCCAAATTAAAAAAAAAAGTTTTACCTTTAGTTATACTTGAAGATTGTCTCTCCCAAGAAAAATCAGGTGCAATGATTCTTTTTACATTTGGTTGACAATTGCACAATTAAACTCCTCCTTTTTTATTCAGTCATAATTGTAGTTGAATGGATCCACATACAGTATAATTTACAGATATTGTGCCTACACCTGGATAAAAACATGCATGTAATCCCACATTTGCTGAGGAAAACAATCTACATACAATATTAACAAACCTACATTATGATCTTCTGCTCTGTACATACTGAAACATCACATTTCACTAATCCTCAAGTATGAAGGTTGGAGTTCTGTAATGATACAAGCAGTCCCAGTGTTCCAATAGGGAAATCACTACTGGGAGAAGGAACTAGCCAGTAACATGGGCAGGATCATAAACACAGTCTCCCAATCATGGTAGATGTTCTGTGTATTTCTTAAGAGGGTGGTGCCCATGTCCATTTTTTTTTCTTTTTTTTTTTTTATATTATGTCTGTAATAGTTGTGGCACCTGTACCGATTTTGCTGGGAAGAGACCCTGAAATTTAGAACGACTAGATCCCTTACTTTTCATTTTTATTGAAAATGGAAGCTTTCCTGCTAATGTTGAATGGCATGGTATATTGCAAGTGGTGAATACATATACAACCTGCTCAGTATCTTAGATGCGATTCTACAATCTACACATACAATTAGCTGCAGTAGAGATTTTGGTGACCATGTGCCACCATGAAACATCTGTGATTAGTTAAAGGGTCATAAACGGATATTCTGAAGAATCATCCATAAAAAGGAGATGGTAGTTGCCCATTCTGGACAGACTAGAAGACAAACACATCTATGGGTACCTGCAGACACTGCTGACATCAGTACTGAATTTAACAAATGATTAATCTTTTATATAATGGGTCTGAGTCAAGATGTTTAAAAGTCATAGTTACATAGTTATTCTGGTTGATAAAAGACACATGTCCATCTAGTTCAACCAACAGAAGGAAAAAAAGTGATATACAAGTTTATGAATACACAATCATTTACTCACAGTTGATACAGGGGAAGGCAAAAAACACCAATAAAGCATGATGCAATTTTTACCAGCAGGGGGAAAAAATGACTTCCTAATTCCCGGAGAGGCAAACTGATATACCTTTAATAAACTTGGCAATTATATAGAATCTAGGATGCTGATTATTAGAGTTCAAATACATGTTTACATGGGAATAATTAAATAAAACTGATTAACACAGATTAGAAAACATGCTTCAAAAGCTACTCGGTACCAGCAGCATACTGACTCCTCAGCACAGACTTGCCAAGCATAGAGTTCTTTACAGACAGTCTCTCTGTTAGCAGTCACATCATGCCTGCATGCCTGAATGTTCACTAAAGTCTATGGGTGGCCTCAAAGCAAGACCACTGTGACGTTTGCCTCCCTGTAAAATACATTATCATGGGACCAGACTGTTTGTATGCGCATTCCCATTCATTCTAGCTTACAAAAAAAAAAGCATCAGGGTCATTGAAAATCCATGGCATTGGAACAGAGTGTGTAGAAAACTGGTGAGAAATGTTATAGCCCCAATGGGTACAAGAAGCATCCAAAAGAGTGATAGTTTTGAAAAGACTGACATTAAAAAAAAAACACATGCACAATGAAAGTCTATGGGGTTTATTTACTAAAGCTGGACAGTACAAAATCAGACTCACTTCTACATAGAAACCAATCAGCTTCTAACCACAGCTTGTTCAATTAAGCTTTGGCAATAAAACCTGGAAGCCGATTGACTTCTATGTAGAAGTGGGCCTGATTTTGCGCTATCCAGCTTTAGTAAATAAACCCCTATGTATCAGTGTTTCATTAAAACTATTTTGGTCTAATGAAGTACACCCCTCACATTTTTTAAATATTTTATTGTATCTTTTCATGTGACAACACTGAAGAAATGACACTTTGCTACAATGTAAAGTAGTGAGTGTACAGCTTGTATAACAATGTAAATTTGCTGTCCCCTAAAAATAACTCAACACACAGCCATTAATGTCTAAACCGCTGGCAACAAAAGTGAGTACACCCCCTAAGTGAAAATGTCCAGGTTGCGCCCAATTAGCCATTTTCCCTCCCCAGTGTCATGTGACTTGTTAGTGTTACAAGGTCTCAGGTGTGAATGGGGAGCAGGTGTGTTAAATTTGGTGTTATCACTCTCACTCTCTCATACTGGTCACTGGAAGTTCAACATGGCACCTCATGGAAAGAACTCTCTGAGGATCTGAAAAAAAGAATTGTTGCTCTACATAAAGATGGCCTAGGCTATAAGAAGATTGCCAAGACCCTGAAACTGAGCTGCATCATGGTGGCCAAGACCATACGGCGGTTTAACAGGACAGGTTCCACTCAGAACAGGCCTCACCATGGTCGACCAAAGAAGTTGAGTGCACGTGCTCAGTGTCATATCCAGAGGTTGTCTTTGGGAAATAGACGTATGAGTGCTGCCAGCATTGCTGCAGAGGTTGAAGGGGTGGGGGGGGTCAGCCTGTCAGTGCTCAGACCATACACCACACACTGCATCAAATTGGTCTGCATGGCCGTCGTCCTAGAAGGAAGCCTCTTCTAAAGATGATGCACAAGAAAGCCTGCAAACAGTTTGCTGAAGACAAGCAGACTAAGGACATGGATTGCTAGAACCATGTCCTGTGGTCTGATGAGACCAAGATAAACTGATTTGGTTCAGATGGTGTCAAGCGTGTGTGGCGGCAACCAGGTGAGGAGTACAAAGACAAGTGTGTTTTGCCTACAGTCAAGCATGGTGGTGGGAGTGTCATGGTCTGGGGCTGCATGAGTGCTGTCAGCACTGGGGAGCTACAGTTCATTGAGGGAACCATGAATGCCAACATGTACTGTGACATACTGAAGTAGAGCATGATCCCCTCCCTTCCGAGACTGGGTCGCAGGGCAGTATTCCAACATGAGAATGACCCCAAACACACCTCCAAGATGACCACTGCCTTGTTAAAGAAGCTAGGGTAAAGGTGATGGACTGGCAAGCATGTCTCCACACCTAAACCCTATTGAGCATCTGTGGGACATACCCCGAAAGCTTGTCCTCAAAATTGTATGTTAGTGCAAATAAAAAAGTATCACGTCAGTACTCAATTGTTTCTGTCGCAAGTGCACAAATACGGCTACAATCACCTGGGGAATCCTCAAACGAAGGGTGGAGGAGTGCAAAGTCTCTAACATCCACCAGCTCCGTGATGTCATCATGGAGGAGTGGAAGAGGACTCCAATGGCAACCTGTAAAGCTCTGGTGAACTCCATGCCCAAGAGGGTTAAAGCGGAGTTCCACCTGAAAAAAAAAAACAAAAGTCAGCAGCTAGAAAAACTGTAGCTGCTAACTTTTAAAATACAGGCACTTACCTGTCCCATGGTCCAGCGGTGTCCTCACCACCGCTGGCTTCACCGGCCATCTTCTCTCCCTGGCGCCGGCATCTTCAGTGTGGGCACCTGGCTGTGAAGCCGCAAGCTGCACATATGTGAGAAGCGCTGCGCTTTGTGAAAGGCCCCACAGTCTTCTGGGACCTGTCACGTGTCCCAGAAGACTATGGGGAGGAAGGAGGGGGGGGGGAGAACTTCCGCTTCCGATCACCTTAGGTGATCGCAGTGGAAGTGGGAGCGGGTACCTGTAAAATTTGGGTACCGCTCCCCCCCCTCCCCAAAGCTGCCAATCCTTAATGGGGAAAAAGACTTAAAGTACACTCACTACTTTACATTGTAGCAAAGTGTCATTTCTCCAGTGTTGTCACATGAAAAGATATAACAAAATATTTACAAAAATGTGAGGGGTGGACCGACAACTCATGGGGCCCCCGGGCAATAGAGGATCATGGGCCCCTGTGTCCTTGCCCAAACTCAAAAAAGCCTATGAAAAAGGTACCAGGGGCATCTCATGGGGCTCCCTACTGACCCTGGGCTCTCGGGCAGTGCCCGAGTTTCCAAATGGTCAGTCCGCCCCTGGGGTGGACTCACTTCTGTGAGATACTGTAGACACACACATTACAAAATGACTATGATTTCCTAAGCAAGAAATGAAAAAATAGAGGCTTGCTGCAGATATATTACCCATTTGACACAGCCTATACAGAATGGCTCAACTGAGCACAGACAGGCCTCACAAACTGATAAAATGTTGCATTTGTAGTCATGAAAGCTACTAGCAATGTTAGATGAGTGAGCACACCTGGCAATAAGTAACAATGTTCATTATGCCAATGTAAGTCAAAACATACAGTGGGGATCGAAAGTTTGGGCACCCCAGCTAAAAATTTGTATTAATGTGCATAAAGAAGCCAAGGATAGATGGAAAAATCTCCAAAAGGCATCAAATTACAGATTAGACATTCTTATAATATGTCAACAAAAGTTAGATTTTATTTCCATCATTTACACTTTCAAAATAACAGAAAACAAAAAAATGGCGTCTGCAAACGTTTGGGCACCCTGCAGAATTTATAGCATGCACTGCCCCCTTTGCAAAGCTGAGACCTGCCAGTGCCATGGATTGTTCTCAATCATCGTCTGCGAAGACCAGGTGATGTCAATCTCAAAGGTTTTAAATGCCCAGACTCATCTGACCTTGCCCCAACAATCAGCACCATGGGTTCTTCTAAGCAGTTGTCTAGAAAACTGAAACTGAAAATAGTTGACGCTCACAAAGCTGGAGAAGGCTATAAGAAGATAGCAAAGCGTTTTCAGATGTCAATATCCTCTGTTCGGAATGTAATTAAGAAATGGCAGTCATCAGGAACAGTGGAAGTTAAAGCAAGATCTGGAAGACCAAGAAAAATATCAGACAGAACAGCTCACAGGATTGTGAGAAAAACAATTCAAAACCCACGTTTGACTGCACGATCCCTCCAGAAAGATCTGGCAGACACTGGAGTTGTGGTACACTATTCCACTATAAAGAGATACTTGTACAAATATGGTCTTCATGGAAGAGTCATCAGAAGAAAACCTCTTCTACGTCCTCACCACAAAAATCATCGTTTGAACTTTGCAAATGAACATATAGACAAGCCTGATGCATTTTGGAAACAAGTTCTGTGGACCGATGAGGTTAAAATTGAACTTTTTGGCCGGAATGAGCAAAGGTACGTTTGGAGAAGAAGGGGCACAGAATTTAATGAAAAGAACCTCTGTCCAACTGTTAAGCATGGGGTTGGATCAATCATACTTTGGGGTTGTGTTGCAGCCAGTGGCACAGGGAACATCTCACGAGTAGAAAGAAAAATGGATTCAATAAAATTTCAGCAAATTTTGGATGGTAACTTGATGCCATCTGTGAAAAAGCTGAAGTTAAAGAGAGGATGGCTTCTACAAATGGATAATGATCCTAAACACACCTTGAAATCCACGGGGGATTACATCAAGAGGCGTAAACTGAAGGTTTTGCCATGGCCTTCACAATCTCCTGACCTCAACATAATTGAAAATCTATAGATAGACCTTAAAAGAACAGTGCGTGACAGACAGCCCAGAAATCTCAAAGAACTGGAAGACTTTTGTAAGGAAGAATGGGCAAAGATACCTCAAACAAGAATTGAAAGACTCTTGGCTGGCTACAAAAAGCGTTTACAAGCTGTGATACTTGCCAAAGGGGGCAGTACAAGATATTAACTCTGCAGGGTGCCCAAACTTTTGCAGATGCCATTTTTTTGTTTTCTGTTATTTTGAAAGTGTAAATGATGGAAATAAAATCTAACTTTTGTTGACATATTATAAGAATGTCTAATCTGTAATTTGATGCCTTTTGGAGATTTTTCCATCTTTCCTTGGCTTCTTTATGCCCATTAATACAAATTTTTAGCTGGGGTGCCCAAACTTTCGATCCCCACTGTAAATATGATTCACCAATTGGAAACAAATCTGACTCCAGAAACTATCTAATATCTTACTACATAAAATGAAATATTGAACATAACTATTAATACCGGGAGGACTGTCTGCGTGGGAAAGGGGGATATATGACAGCAAATGCTTCAGAATTTTGTTGATAATCCTGTTTAGAGCAGCAGACCAAACATTTTGTATTCTGGCTAGTTGATCATTCAGCAGGCGTTGCTAGGATGTGGAAAATTCATGCAAGCAACTAGCTGTTGGAGGTTTCTAGGCAATTAATGACAACAAAAGGCTAAGCCTGTGGAAAACAACAAGCAGAGCCCTTGTGTGATCAGTTGAGGGCCAAGGGATCTTAAAAGCCAACCTGCTTGTCGCTTCTCTCCTAACTTCTTACAGCAAACAATGTAATAACACCATACATTATAGGAACTGCTTATCCAAGGCAACTCATCAAAAAATCAGTAAATAAATTGTTTTGAATAATGTACAGTAATCCCAAACCACATGCATTTGTGTTACTCTAGGTTTTCTATGTCACCAATATTACTGCTGAAAAACATTTATGTTACTATGCAGCACCACAATATGGTACTGTGAAAAGACCACGTAGAAATGAAAAGATTTCCTTTTCCTGCTCCTGTAATAAATCTGATGTATTACACTGCAGGAAACCACACATATAGAACAGGTCTGTACAGTCCATTCAAACATTCAGGGAAAAGCAGTGTGAAATCTGTATGGAGCCCAGCCTCACAAAATCATGCAATTGTGATCTGGGTTCTGTACAACACCTACCACACATTAACCTGGTTGGTAATCTACTTGGATGATGATCACATGAGGGTCAACCCTTTTGCATAAAACATAGTTATACTTTAACAAGCTCCACTGAATTAACCAGCTTCCCACATTTCTGGGAGATGTAGATTTTGTGTACCCTGGAGCACTGTGTGGTACTTCCCACCAACCTCTACATCAATACGGTATCCCATAGGAGGCTTGTACAGATTTATGAGCTGTCATTCATATCCAACATTTACTACCTAGAAAACAACTTACCACGTTCTTGCTTGATCAGTGCCGCTGGCTATAGCCAGCAGTGCTGATGAGTGTATTCTTGATGGTCAGAATACAATGACTCCATGGGAGAGATTCCCCCATCCACCTTGAATGTGTGGACCAGAGAATTTATTCATTTGTTTTCATTCAACCTACTGGTTGAACTAAAGAAAAAGAATCATGTATGGCCTGCCTAACTCACTAATTACTGAAACAGGATTAGATAAAGTACCAGTCTCATAAGGAGTGCTATATTTAATGTAGCAAAAACACTAATTGACTTGCATTATGACAAAGAACAGTTAAGCACCACCACTAAGACCGATTTAACTACTTGCCTACAGGGCACTTATACCCCCTTCCTGCCCAGGCCAATTTTCAGCTTTCAGCGCTGTTGCACTTTGAATGACAATTGTGCGGTCATGCTACACTGTACCCATATGAAATTTTTATCATTTTTTTGTGACAGATAGAGCTTTATTTTGGTGGTATTTAATCACCTCTGGGTTTTTTATTTTTTCTTAAACAAACCAAAAACCACTGAAAATTTTCAACAAAAAAAAAAAGTGTTTTTTTCTTAGTTTTTGTTATAAAACTTTGTAAATAAGTGATTTTTCTTCTTCACTGATGTGCGCTAATGAGGCTGCACTGATGGGCATTGATAGGCTGCACTGATGGACACTGATAGGTGGCACTGATGGGCACTGATGAGAAGGAACTGGTAGGTGGCACTGATGGGCATTGACAGACATCACCGATGGGTACTGAAAGGCGGCACTGATAGGCGGCACTAACTGGCACTGATAGGCGGCACTGACTGGCAATGTTAGGTGGCACTGTTAGGCGGCACTGACAGGCACTGATAGGCAGCACGATGCACACTGATAGGCGGCACTGACTGGCACTGATAGGCGGCACTGACTGGCACTGATAGGTGGCACTGACTGGCAGCACTGATAGGTGGCACTGACTGGCACTGATGGGTGACACTGAACGGCAGCTCAGATGGGCACTGAAATGTGGCACTGATGGGCACTGGCAGGTGGCATGGATGAGCACTGAGAGCTGGCACTGATGGACACTGCCAGGTGGCGCTGCTGGGGCTACACAGATCATCAGGGCACACTGATCATCAGTGCTCTGATGATCTGTGTACATGTCCCCTCCGAGGAAGGCCGATTACCGGCTCTCCTCTCCTCACGAGCTGTCAACGTGAGAGCTCGTGGGGAGAGAAATGCTGATAACCGGCATTTCCCTGTTTACATGTGATCAGCTGTGTGATTGGACACAGCTGATCACATGACCGAGCCGACATCTTCGGCTCTTTCCGTGGATCAGTGATTCGCTGTGTCCGAGGGACACAGCGCACCGCCGCTCACCGTGCTGCGTGCTCCGGGAGCCACGCACGCGCGGTTAGAATGGGAGGACGTCATATGACGTCCTCCCAGAATGAGAGAACCACCTTGCATCCGTCATTTTACTATATGGCGGGCGGGAGGCGGTTAAAGCAGAGTTTCAGTCCCCCTAAAAAAAATTTTTTAAAAGCAGATCCACGATGACATTACAAATATCATTCAGAATTGGAATAATTCAATATTAAAATCATTGTAATTACTTGTAATTATTTTGCAAATCGTTCATGTTTACCAGGATCTGTGAAGCAGGCAGTCGCCATGATGGCTGTGGGCATCTTTATTTCCTGAATTCGTGCTGCTGGCTATCCCAGCATGCAACACTCGTTCTCGCGCATGCACAGTAAAGACAATGCTCGGCGTGACGTGTGCAGTACAGGTTGCTATAGCAATGGTGGGGATGGATGAAGTTCCCGCCCCGGTCAGGCAACCTGTACAGCACTGCAAGGAAGGCTCGTCGTGAGCACAGGAAACCAAAGGACTCCTGGGATACAGGAAACGACATCCCAGGAGACCTTGCAAATCGCCTATCTACGTCATCGCCTAGGCGGTCGGAACTGAAGAGGATAAAAAGTTATGTATTAAATTAAAAAAAAAATTCCAACTTGTGCTTCTTTTCACAGGGACTATCGAATAAGGTAAATTAGTAAAAATGGGTGGAACTCCGCTTTAAGGCCCATTTACACACTTGCGATTTGTTGCATTTAGTTAACACACATTATATGTCTTAGCGTTTTGGCACCCCCATGTACAATGCAGTTCTGACACACATGCTTTGCAACACACCAAAACACATGGTAATGTAATACTGTGCGTTGCAGAAAAAATGCTGCATGTCCATTTTTTGTCTGTTCCTGGGCCTTGGCAGTCAATTAAAAATGGATGGGCTGCCTTAATGCAATGCACTTTAATGCAACACAAAGGAACAGAGAAGTGTGAATGCGCCCCTAATAAAGGAGTTAAGTCCTGGTTCACGATGGTGCAAACTGTTGTGCAATTTGACATTTTCAAATCGCATGACAAGTTGCACCCTAATGTTGGCAATGGAACAGTTCAAATCGGTGCAACTCTGACTTTGTGGTGCTGCACCGATTTGAAAAAAATGTTTCTACATAATTTTTTTTGATTTCTGGTGCGACTTGCATAGACATCTGTGCATGAAGTCGCACAGATGTCAGCCATGTCGCACTGACATGCGGCTTTGAATTGCTGTGACTTCAAATGAAGTTGCTTGATATCAAAGTTGGATTCAGTGTGAACCGACAGTAAGAGTCTATTTTCAGTATTTAGATTTTTTTTTTACACATTACCAGACACTTATGAAAACATTTACATCAAGATGTTCTTGTTTACACCCGTGTCTAATAAACATAACTTGAAACGCTACACAGTCTCTCTAAGGGAACATTCACATATAGCCCGAGGACGACACTTTCACACTACCTCACTGTGCTCACAGTGTACTCACAGTATTGGTGCACTTTCAGAAGTGCGACCAAACCAAAGGACATAATAGAAGTCTATGACAAAGTGCAACTAATCTGCACCAAAAGCGCAGGTACACTGCGCTGTGGCCAAAGCTCAGGGAGGCAGCATGAAGACGCCTTGACTGATTTTTTTCTGCACCAGATAAATAATCAGTAGTCAGTAGTTTTCTTTGTGCCCGGTTTGTTGTACAATGCAGCCCAGAGGAGCAGTGCACTGAGCTCCGGTAAAATACAGACACTTTACAGCAGTGCACAGGTAGGCACTGCATATCATCGCACAGCAGCAAAACATTCTGGGCTGACATGAAGTATCACTTTTTTGTACAATTCAAATTAACGCAGTACTAAACCCAAACATTATATTACAGATTACCAATTCTTAAATCTGATGGCTACATTAGTTTTCTTTTTTAGACTTACTTTCTTCTATTCGCTATAGGGGCGTTTGGCAAGCGTTGGTAAAACAGCCAAGTGTGAACGAGCCCTTATGATTGAGAAAATGGTATCATTTATGGCTTATTTTAGATGGGTTCAGTTTAGCCGTGTTTAGAGAAGATAGAATATCAGGCATCTAGGATCCAAAGACACGCGTATAATTAAACGCAGGAGAGCTGGATCGGGGAACCAGAAAGCGTGTGTATACTTCCCAGGATCAGGGAACCAGAAAGCGTGTGTATACTTCCCAGGATCAGGGAACCAGAAAGCGTGTGTATACTTCCCAGGATCCGGGAACCAGAAAGTGTGTGTATACTTCCCAGGACCCGGAACCAGAAAGCGTGCGTATACTTCCCAGGATCCGGGAACCAGAAAGCGTGTGTATACTTCCCAGGATCCGGAAAGCGTGTGTATATACTTCCCAGGATCCGGAAAGCGTGTGTATACTTCCCAGGATCCGGAAAGCGTGTGTATACTTCTCAGGATCCGGAAAGCGTGTGTATACTTCTCAGGATCTGGAAAATGTGTGTATACTTCCCAGGATCCGGGAACCAGAAAGCGTGTGTATACTTCCCAGGATCCGGAAAGCGTGTGTATACTTCCCAGGATCCGGAAAGCGTGTGTATACTTCCCAGGATCCGGGAATCAGAAAGCGTGTGTATACTTCCCAGGATTCGGAAAGCGTGTGTATACTTCTCAGGATCCGGAAAGCGTGTGTATACTTCCCAGGACCCGGGAACCAGAAAGCGTGTGTATACTTCCCAGGACCCGGGAACCAGAAAGTGTGTGTATACTTCCCAGGATCCGGAAAGCGTGTGTATACTTCCCAGGATCCGGGAACCAGAAAGCGTGTGTATACTTCCCAGGATCCGGGAACCAAAAAGCGTGTGTATACTTCCCAGGGTTCGGGAACCAGAAAGCGTGTGTATACTTCCCAGGATCCGGGAACCAGAAAGCGTGTGTGTATACTTCCCAGGGTTCGGGAACCAGAAAGCGTGTGTATACTTCCCAGGATCCGGGAACCAGAAAGCGTGTGTATACTTCCCAGGATCCGGGAACCAGAAAGCGTGTGTATACTTCCCAGGATCCGGGAACCAAAAAGCGTGTGTATACTTCCCAGGGTTCGGGAACCAGAAAGCGTGTGTATACTTCCCAGGATCCGGGAACCAGAAAGCGTGTGTATACTTCCCAGGATCCGGGAACCAGAAAGCGTTTGTATACTTCCCAGGATCCGGAAAGCGTGTGTATACTTCCCAGGATCCGGAAAATGTGTGTATACTTCTCAGGATCCGGGAACCAGAAAGCGTGTGTATACTTCCCAGGATCCGGAAAGCGTGTGTATACTTCCCAGGATCCGGAAAGCGTGTGTATACTTCCCAGGATCCGGAAAGCGTGTGTATACTTCCCAGGATCCGGGAACCAGAAAGCGTGTGTATACTTCCCAGAGGATCCGGAAAGCATGTGTATACTTCTCAGGATCCAGAAAGCGTGTGTATACTACTTCCCAGGATCCGGAAAGCGTGTGTATACTTCCCAGGATCCGGGAACCAGAAAGCGTGTGTATACTTCCCAGGATCCGGAAAGCGTGTGTATACTTCTCAAGATCCGGAAAGCGTGTGTATACTACTTCCCAGGATCTGGAAAGCGTGTGTATACTTCTCAGGATCCGGAAAGTGTGTGTATACTTCCCAGGACCCGGGAACCAGAAAGCGTGCGTATACTTCCCAGGATCCGGGAACCAGAAAGCGTGTGTATACTTCCCAGGATCCGGAAAGCCTGTGTATACTTCCCAGGATCCGGAAAGCGTGTGTATACTTCCCAGGATCCGGAAAGCGTGTGTATACTTCTCAGGATCCGGAAAGCGTGTGTATACTTCCCAGGATCTGGAAAATGTGTGTATACTTCCCAGGATCCGGGAACCAGAAAGCGTGTGTATACTTCCCAGGATCCGGAAAGCGTGTGTATACTTCCCAGGATCCGGAAAGCGTGTGTATACTTCCCAGGATCCGGGAATCAGAAAGCGTGTGTATACTTCCCAGGATCCGGAAAGCGTGTGTATACTTCTCAGGATCCGGAAAGCGTGTGTATACTTCCCAGGATCCGGAACGCGTGTGTATACTTCCCAGGATCCGGGAACCAGAAAGCGTGTGTATACTTCCCAGGATCTGGAAAGCGTGTGTATACTTCTCAGGATCCGGAAAGTGTGTGTATTCTTCCCAGGACCCGGGAACCAGAAAGCGTGTGCGTATACTTCCCAGGATCCGGGAACCAGAAAGCGTGTGTATACTTCCCAGGATCCGGAAAGCCTGTGTATACTTCCCAGGATCCGGAAAGCGTGTGTATACTTCCCAGGATCCGGAAAGCGTGTGTATACTTCTCAGGATCCGGAAAGCGTGTGTGTATACTTCCCAGGATCTGGAAAATGTGTGTATACTTCCCAGGATCCGGGAACCAGAAAGCGTGTGTATACTTCCCAGGATCCGGAAAGCGTGTGTATACTTCCCAGGATCCGGAAAGCGTGTGTATACTTCCCAGGATCCGGGAATCAGAAAGCGTGTGTATACTTCCCAGGATCCGGAAAGCGTGTGTATACTTCTTTCAGGATCCGGAAAGCGTGTGTATACTACTTCCCAGGATCCGGAACGCGTGTGTATACTTCCCAGGATCCGGGAACCAGAAAGCGTGTGTATACTTCTCAGGATCCGGAAAGCGTGTGTATACTTCCCAGGACCCGGGAACCAGAAAGCGTGTGTATACTTCCCAGGACCCGGGAACCAGAAAGTGTGTGTATACTTCCCAGGATCCGGGAACCAGAAAGCGTGTGTATACTTCCCAGGATCCGGAAAACGTGTGTATACTTCTCAGGATCCGGGAACCAGAAAGCGTGTGTATACTTCCCAGGATCCGGAAAGCGTGTGTATACTTCCCAGGATCCGGAAAGCGTGTGGTATACTTCCCAGGATCCGGGAACCAGAAAGCGTGTGTATACTTCCCAGGATCCGGAAAGCATGTGTATACTTCTCAGGATCCGGAAAGCGTGTGTATACTACTTCCAGGATCCGGAAAGCGTGCGTGTGTATACTTCCCAGGATCCGGGAACCAGAAAGCGTGTGTGTATACTTCCCAGGATCCGGAAAGCGTGTGTATACTTCTCAAGATCCGGAAAGCGTGTGTATATACTACTTCCCAGGATCCGGAAAGCGTGTGTATACTTCTCAGATCCGGAAAATGTGTGTATACTTCCCAGGATCCAGGAACCAGAAAGCGTGTGTATACTTCTCAGGATCCGGGAACCAGAAAGCGTGTGTATACTTCCCAGGATCCGGAAAGCGTGTGAATACTTCTCAGGATCCGGAAAGCGTGTGTATACTTCCCAGGATCCGGGAACCAGAAAGCGTGTGTATACTTCCCAGGATCCGGGAACCAGAAAGCGTGTGTATACTTCCCAGGACCCGGGAACCAGAGAGCGTGTGTATACTTCCCAGGACCCGGGAACCAGAGAGCGTGTGTATACTTCCCAGGACCCGGGAACCAGAAAGCGTGTGTATACTTCCCAGGACCCGGGAACCAGAGAGCGTGTGTATACTTCCCAGGATCCGGGAACCAGAAAGCGTGTGTATACTTCCCAGGACCCGGGAACCAGAGAGCGTGTGTATACTTCCCAGGATCCAGGAACCAGAAAGCGTGTGTATACTCCCAGGATCCGGGAACCAGAAAGCGTGTGTATACTTTCCCAGGATCCGGGAACCAGAGAGCGTGTGTATACTTCCCAGATAGCTTCTCCTGCTTGTACAGCATGACTAAAGGTAAAACCTCACAGTTTTGGACAGAGTGGGGAGGGAGTAGAACCCATCAGTAGTGAGGACACTAGTTCTGGGGGCCCCCAATTTTTGAAGGAGTTTCCTCTCTCTTCCTGTTTTGGCTATGGGACAGGAAGTGAAGGGAAGTCTCCCCAATGGAACAGAGAAGACACAAAAACCTGACAGGGGATATAACCCTCCCTTACTTGATCTGAAAGTTTTGCCTACAGTTGTACATTAAATGAAGCAGCCGCAGCGCCCAGTGGGATGGGTCCTAGTGGTGTATGAAGCCGATATCCGGCCGCCTTGTAGGACACAGACCGCTGACAGGACGAGGCTGCTAGGGATGATAGTGATCGGTACAGACAGCCTGCCACCCTGTGCGGCGCCCCGTGTACGACGTACACTCCTCCATACATTCTACAATCCCCGCCACCCACCTACCTCACTCTCCGCCGTCCGCTCTCTATGTATAGCCGTTAGCTGCCCGTCTCTGTGGTAACAAGCACCGCCCTCCGCTTCCAGCTGATTCTATGCCAAAAAGAGGGTCACAGTGCCCCCTAGCTACAGGAGGAGATCCTACACCCCTGTATCCTGATGGGAACGATCTATTCTAGATGATCAGAGAGCCATCAGTATGACTTCTCATGGATCGCCTTCCCTTCTACATTACACCAAGCTTCACAGCAGTTCACTGACAAGCCGAGTGATTTGAAGTAGACTTTTCAGTAACAAGTGTGCAGGAATAAAGGGATGGCATGTTACAATACAATGATCAGCCATAACATTATGACCACTGACAGGCAGAGCCAGTGCTACCATTAGGCAAACTAGGCAGCCGCCTAGGGCACTCTGCCGTCTAGGGGCGCAGCCACAGCCACTGGCTTTCCTACTTTATGCCATGGCCAGATCTAGGGGCTGCTGAGATGGGCTGGCTTTGGGGGGATTTGGGTAAGGTGGGAGGATTTTATGCTGGGAAGGGTGATTTGGAGGGACTTTAGCTAGAGGAGGATTTGTCCTAGGTGGGGGGATTAATAGAAGAGGAGTGATGCTGGGAGATGGGATTGGGGTAAAGTGGGAGGATTTTATGCTGGGAAGGGTGATTTGGAGGGAGTTTAGCTAAAGGAGGGATTTGGGGGAATTTGTCCTAGGTGGGGGGATTAATGGAAGAGGAGTGATGCTGGGAGGGGGGATTTGGGGGGAATTTGTCCTAGGAAGGGGGGATTTGTGCTAGGAGAGGGGTTTGGGTGGATTTGTGTTAGGAGAGAGGATTGGGGGATTTGTGTTAGGAGGGGAGATTTGTGCTATAAGGGGGGGATTTGTACTAGGAGAGGGATTTGGGTGGATTTGTATTAGGATAGAGGATTGGGGGGATTTGTGTTAGGAGGGGAGATTTGTGCTAGTAGGGGGGATTTGTGCTAGGAGAGGGGTTTTGATGGATTTGAGTTAGGAGAGAGGATTGGGGGGATTTGTGCAAGAAAGGGGGGATTTGTGCTAGGAGAGGGGTTTGGGTGGATTTGTATTAGGAGAGAGGATTGGGGGGATTTGTGTTAGGAGAGAGGATTGGGGGGATTTGTGCTAGAAAGGGGGGATTTGTGCTAGGAGAGGGGTTTGGGTGGATTTGTATTAGGAGAGAGGATTGGGGGGATTTGTGTTAGGAGAGAGGATTGGGGGATTTGTGCTAGAGAGGGGGGATTTGTGCTAGGAGAGAGGATTGGAGGGATTTGTGCTAGAAGGGGGGATTTGTGCTAGGAGAGAGGATTGGAGGGATTTGTGCTAGAAGGGGGGGATTTGTGCTAGGGGAGGGGTTTGAGTGGATTTGTGATACGAGAGAGGATTGGGGGGATTTGTGTTAGGAGTGGAGATTTGTGCTAGAAGGGGGGACTGAGGGAATTTGTGATAGGAGAGGGGGATTGGCAGGTGTGCTCGGAGGGAGAATTTGGGGGGGGGGGGAATTTGTACTAGGAAAGGGGATTGGAAAAAAATGTGTGCTAGGAGAGGGGGATGGGGGATTTGTGTTAGGAAGGGGATTGGGGGGGAATTGTGCTAGGAGGCGGGATTTGGAGGAGACATGCTAGGAGGGGGGAGTTTGGGAGTTTGTGCCAGGATAGGGATTTTGGGTGTAGAGGAAAGCTTTGTGCCGGGAAGGGTAGTTTGGAGGGGGCTGTGCTAGGAGGTGGGATTGGGGGGATTTATGCTATGAGGGGAGATTGGGGGGGATTTATGTTAGGAGGGGGGATAGGGGGGGGATTTATGCTTATAGGGGGAATTTGGGGGAGAGTATTTGTGCTAAGGTGGAAAATTTGAGGGGAAAGAGGATGTGTGCTAGGAGGGGTGAAGTAAAACTACAGGTGAAGTTTTTTGGGTTTTATTGGGAGGGGGTGCAAGTAGCTGGTCTTGCCTAGGGAGAAAAATAGTCTAGCACTGGCCCTGCTGACAGGTAAAGTGAATAAAATTGGTTATCTGGTGACAATGGCATCTGAAAATCTGTAGAATATATTGGGCAGCAAGTGAACATATTGTCCCTGAAGTGGATGTGTTGAAAGCAGAAAAATGGGCAAGCGCAATGGCCCATACACACGTTAAGAAAATCGTATGAAAATTTTCATACGAGGGCCATCGTCCGATAATCTGATTATTAGTACATAGCTTTCAAGAGCCAATCATGACAATTCATGGGACAATATCCAAAGGGACAAGCACGAAACTTTTTCTCATATGATACCAGATTGTACAATCTTTGTTTAATCAGTACAATAGTTGTCCAAAAATACTATACAAATACAATACAATACAATACATGACATCACTTTCAAAAATTCTTTTCTTTCATACGAGAATTTTCGTAAGTTTAGTACCCTCTTCATTTTCAATGTGAGACTACCATTTCCAATAAAAGTAAATGATCATTCATCCGATATTCTTATCAAAATGAAATAAATGCATATTTTTTTATTTATCTTTGTGCATTTATGACATCTTTTTCAGAAGGTCGAAGGCGCCTTTAAATTCCTATTGGTGTCATCTGATAAAATGCCGTTAGGTGGCGCAATTCCTACACCAGCTGTAGTCTTTCAGGTCTTGCCTCACAGTGGATTGTACTACTTTATAAAATAGGGGGCATTCGTTTACCACAACAATAATCATACGCCCTCAGCTTTCTATACTGCCATGCATTAGGCCATAAGACTGCATTTCATATTCTAGGTGTTTCTATGGTCAATTTATTATTAAGAATATATGTTTGCATTATGGGTTACAAGAGTCCCCCCCCAGCTGAAGTGAGTGTGCGGAGCCTGCTTGAAGACATCACCGCTGACGCATGCGCGGTACGGGCTGCGGTTGTCAGTGTTGTGCGGCGACTCCGGTAAGATGGCGGCGGGGAGCAGTGTGGCCCAGAAGACCTGGGAGCTCTCCAATAACATGCAGGAAGTACAGAGCATCGATGAGATCTACAAATATGATAAGAAACAACAGCAGGAGATCCTGGCCGCAAAGCCTTGGACGAAGGAGTAAGTGGAGGCTTCCTGTACGGAGGGGGATGGGGGACACTCAAGAAGCTGGCTGGGTGACAACTAAAACCATCTGACACAGTGTCACATCTTCAGGTGTCACTCCTGCCCGACACTGACATGAGCAGCACAGTGATAGTGAGGAGTCATCCTACCCAGACACACTCATCTCCAGTGTGTAGTGTGGGGGCTACTCATCTGAGTGGACCACGATGGGGGGTAGGTGCTACTCATCTGAATGGACCATTATGGGGGGAGGGGTGGCTACTCATCTGAGTAAACCATGATGGGGGGGAGGGGTGGCTACTCATCTGAATGGACCATGATGGAGGAGGGGTGGCTACTCATCTGATTGGACCATGATGGAGGAGGGCTGGCTACTCATCTGATTGGACCATGATGGAGGAGGGGTGGCTACTCATCTGATTAGACCATGATGGGGGGGCATACTCTTCTGAATGGACCATGATGGGGGGGCATACTCTTCTGAATGGACCATGATGGGGGGGGATACTCTTCTGAATGGACCGTGATGGGGGGGGGGGCATACTCAGCTGAATGGGCCATGAATGGGAGGAGGGGTGGCTACTCATCTGAATGGACCATGATGGGGGGGGCATACTCTTCTGAATGGACCATGATGGGGGGGGCATACTCTTCTGAATGGACCGTGATGGGGGGGGCATACTCTTCTGAATGGACCGTGATGGGGGGGGGGCATACTCTTCTGAATGGACCGTGATGGGGGGGCATACTCTTCTGAATGGACCGTGATGGGGGGGGCATACTCTTCTGAATGGACCGTGGGGGGGGCATACTCTTCTGAATGGACCGTGATGGGGGGGGCATACTCTTCTGAATGGACCGTGATGGGGGGGGGCATACTCTTCTGAATGGACCGTGATGGGGGGGGCATACTCTTCTGAATGGACCGTGATGGGGGGGGCATACTCTTCTGAATGGACCGTGATGGGGGGGGCATACTCTTCTGAATGGACCGTGATGAGGGGAGGGCTACTTATCTGAATGGACCGTGATGAGGGGAGGGCTACTTATCTGAATGGACCGTGATGAGGGGAGGGCTACTTATCTGAATGGACCGTGATGAGGGGAGGGCTACTTATCTGAATGGACCGTGATGAGGGGAGGGCTACTTATCTGAATGGACCGTGATGAGGGGAGGGCTACTTATCTGAATGGACCGTGATGAGGGGAGGGCTACTTATCTGAATGGACCGTGATGAGGGGAGGGCTACTTATCTGAATGGACCGTGATGAGGGGGGAGGGCTACTTATCTGAATGGACCGTGATGAGGGGAGGGCTACTTATCTGAATGGACCATGATGGGGGGGGCTACTCATTTGAATGGACCATGATGGGGGGCTAGCTTGTCTGAGCTTCCAAAAAAAAAGGGGATGGAGAGCTCCAGTTAGTGCTCAGTGAGGAGACCTCTGAGTGCTGATTGGGGGAAGGGACACAACCCTCTTCACACAGCTCCCAGGAACAGAGCTGAGGCTGTCGATCAGCTGGAGGTCCCTCCCCTGTCACCATTTTTCTCTTGGTGTCAGGAAAACTTTTCAGAAATGACTTTTGCTAATAGAAGAGGAACGAGACGAGAGAAATTAAAGTTAATGATCCAGATAGAGGAAAGTACTATAGAGGGATATGCTTTGTTCATATTTCATGTCTGAGGTTCCACTTTAAAATAGAACTTTATGTATGCAAAAAAATGGCAAACAGGTAGGCTTTTAATGCAGGCGATACATACTATGCCTCTCCTGTATTAAAAATCCATTACCTGCCTGCATGTCCTGTACACTGAGCTGTGCACCCACACCTCAGTGTACAAATTTTGGCAATGCCAATATGATTAAACTCCGGTACATGCACAGGAGTGACGATATCTTGGCTGAGCTAATGAAAATGGCCAAGATTGTTACCCAGAAGACAATCCAGCTAAAGATGACAGCGGTCGGCGGGGAGCTCTGGGAAGCCGTAGCGCTGGACAGAGGGTGAGTATAGTTCCGCTTTAATATGAGATGATGACACGTGTCAACTGATAGTTAGTCTTGTGGTGGTTGATGGAGCAGGGACTGGCTTCCCGAAATTACAGCACTGAGCCCTGACTGTTGTTAGAAAGGGGGATTCTGGGTTGGAGCACTTGAAGTGACTCTTTCATGGGAAAGGTATGGGGACACTCCATTGCTGATGTCCCTAGAAGAATGTTAAAGCTGAACTGCGGGAATTCAGCCAGTTTGTAAAATGTGCTGGCATGCTAAAGAGCTAAAAACCCCAGACCTGTAATATGAACAAAGCATATCTCTCCATAGTGCGTGTTTCTCTATCCAGAGCACTAAGTGTCATTTCTGTCTGCTGCCTCCTTCTTCTGCTATCTGCATGAGTCATTTCTAACAAGTTTTCCTGATGCCAAGAGAAAAATGGCGACAAGGGAGGGACTTTCAGCAGACTGACTGCCTCAGCTTTGTTGCTGTGTGAAATGGGGTGTGTCTTTTCCCTCCAATCGACTCTCAGAGCTCTCCTCACTGAGCTCTGCAGAGTGTAACTGCAGCTCTCTGTCCCATATTTTTCTGAACTACCAAACAAGCTTTATAAATTCAGCACTTTAAACAGATGAAGAGAAGACTGCAGACAGACAGGTACAGCTGCTGTGTGAAGGGGGTGTGTTTCTTCCCTTCAGTCAGTTGTCAGAGCTCACCTTACAGTGTTTAACTTGAGATCCTTGCCCTCTGCTGCTGGAGCTGAGAAAATAATACTTTGATCTGTGTGTTTTTAGAACACTGTACAGGACAGATGGCTATGAAGAAAACAATACTGTGGCTAAACAGGTGCAACTTATGTAGGAGGATTTGTTTAATCTTTATCACTTGAGTCCAGTCATTTAGACATTTCATTGGGTATATGTAAGAGTTCACAACCACTTTAAGTCCAGGGAGGTGTATGCAACCTCTGGACTTCTCTTTAGCTTACATTTGACAGTTTTACTGAGTACTGGAAATACAGCAATCACTATACTCCCAGTGCTCTGACAGGAAAGATGTTGCCTTTTCCCACAGCAGCAGATCTTCCAGCCCCTCCCATCTGCTGTTTATTCATAGAAGGCGTTGTATTTTATTAATTAGTTTACATAATACAAAACGCTCTGTGATTGGGCAGGAGGAGGGGATGGGCTGGCACAGCAGCTGCATGTGACTCTTCAGCCTTGGGAGCTGACCCCAGAAGGACCTGGGTCAGAGCGCCAGAACTATAGCAATAGCTATGTTCACAGCACTTGGTGAATATCCAAATTGTAAGTTAATCAATTTTATTTATGTCCTGGATGAGATGTTTTTGGGTTTTTTTTAGAGCTGGTGACCGGGTAAAAGTAAAGTAACTGAGCAGCTCTATAACTTTAGGCAGTCGCAACGGAAGTGGGAGCGGGTACCTGTCAAATACGGGTACCTGCTCCTCAAAGGTGCCAAACCTTAATGGGGAGCGGGGGGCAATGCATTAAAGTGGAACTTCTCCTTTTGGGTGGAGCTCCGCTTTAAGCAGATGCAGGGAGATACTTGTCTGCAGGGCCTTAGGTACAGCTTGCACTCCAGCAGGAACAGTGTGTAGCACAATGGTGAAAATACCAATCACAAGCTGGTAATTTTTTTTTTTTTTTTATATCATTCAGCTAGCGGGCTGCAAAAAAAAAAAACAGGTTCCTCCATCCACATGAATGAGGTGGATGAAGGAATTCTCCATCGGGTCATTGTAATCTGACTGCTGCACCTGCCTCTGTCAAAATACATTGATCTGCAGCTGCTGATCAATAGAAGATTTTCCAACATGTCCATTTGACAGAGGACCATTAATCAATTTCTATTGAGCTGTGAGGCACACACACTGATCGAACATCAGGTGGTCCAGCAGGGATTAGTGTATGGCCAGCTTCACTCCAGAGCCTATTATATTAGCAGTCATGCAGAGTACCTTTGATCCCACAATTCAGGAATACAGCTCAAAGCACAGGAAGTATGCTGCTATTTTTTTTGAGGAATTCAAGACCTAATGTAAATCTTTCAGGGTACCGCTAAAAGAGTATGGGTTTGTAAAAAAAAAAAAAAAATCATTCATACTTACCTAGATGGATGCTGCATCTGTCTCCTGCTGCTTCTAAGACCGAGAACTGAGTGATCAAAGACCACTAATCGCTCAGTTCTCAGTCTTCAACGACCAGAGAGCTGTTCAGTGTCAGTCACCATTTCTCTGCTGTGCCTCTCCAGCGCTCACTGGAGCGCCGAGCTGTGGAGGTAGTGAGAGTGGCTGGCTCAGGCTCTCAGTCGCTGAGAGGCTGAGCTAGCTGCCAGTCCAGGCATCTGGGTGGATTCTGACTTTAAAGTCAGGGCCTCTCCAGAGGCTGGACTGGATCTGTGATGGCAGACAGCAGACTTTAGCCTGCTGTTGGCTGAAAACAGGTCACTACAGTGCACTCCTGTGATCCCTAATAGAAGTAGGGCCAAAAGAGCTTTGACCCTACTTCTCCTTAAGTCAGAATTAAAATTTCTAGCCATTCTGCATATGATTCAAGCCTTCTATTTGAGTTCGGGTCCATTTTTAGGAAGTTTAACAAAGTGGTGCATTAAAATGAAAAAAAAAAAAAAAACCTCAGTTTTTAATCCTTGCATACTGTTTTCCATCACAGTGCCCCCCTAACCTCCAACAGTGCTTCCCAGTCTCCTCCAGAGACCTCCTCCCCTACAGGGCCACCAAGTTAGCTGCAAAGTCCCCTAGCCCACTCCACAACCCTCATAACCCTATAGTGACACCCAAACCGATCCAGAGCCTTCCTGCATTTCAGTACATGTTTTGCATTTCCGTACTTCTATTGTATGTTGGGGCATGGAAGGTTTTTGACACATTTACCAGGTCCTGGTCACAGATAGGTTGAGAACCACTGCTCCATGATAAAGCTGGCTCTCTTCTCTCACAAAGATGACTAAAGCCTGGCATTGGTGAAGGAAAGCTCTCAAGAAGTACTGGTATTCTATAACAGCCACCTCCAGTCCTTGTGTGCATCCTGAAACCCAGAGAACTCGGACATGTAAATTCTCTTCAGCTCCTTATCAATGGTCCAACAGTGATGGAACAACTTACCAGTGCAAACAGTAGATCAAACCTCTTGACCACAGGAACTTTTCAGAATGTGTATACCATAATGCCCAGAGTTTCAGAGGTCTGAGTACACATAGTATAAAAACTAGACTGACCTGTAGGCTCCGGGATGATTCTGTAGTAACATACAAGTGACACTTTGCAAACTTTACCTTTTACATAAGGTACATTTCATTTCATTGATAGCTTAGATCAAGCATCTAATAGCGGTTTTCGCTGTAGTACTTGAAACTGTCAGGATTCTAACATGCTCAAATATCGCACATCATTGCCAGGTCATGAACAATATTTAATCATATCTCTCTATTTGTTTTGTAGTCATCATTACTTTAAGTACTGCAAGGTGTCTGCCCTAGCACTGCTGAAGATGGTCATGCACGCCCGGTCAGGAGGAAACCTGGAAGTGATGGGTCTGATGCTTGGAAAGGTGGATGGAGAAACAATGATTATTATGGACAGTTTTGCGTTACCTGTTGAAGGGACTGAAACCAGAGTGAATGCTCAAGCTGCTGCATATGAATACATGGCTGCATATATAGAAAATGCAAAACAGGTATACTTTTATTTCAGTCATGCATTATATTGCATTATTGCTGCCCACCTTACTCCAATTGTAAAAGCAGGAGTGCGTCCAGCTGTTACTAGTGGCTTTATAGATTGCCTGGTTGTACATTTATATGTAGTGCTGATGTGGCTAGTATGAGCATTTCATGCAATAACTGACCTGTGTAGTGATCATAGACAGGGTCTTTTTTTTAGGTTAACCAGTTGACTATATATATATATATATATATATATATATATATATATATATATATAAAATTTGGTTCGTGGCACAACAGCAGATGTGTATATAAACACCTGCATTTAGCCATTAAGCCAGGCCTTGAAATTTCTGCTCGCATTGGTGAGTGGAAATTATCGTGGGGGCGAGTGTGTCCCCAAGGCCGTCTTGCTGAGCATGCTCAGAACTCAGGGCCGGATCTGTCACTTGTACTGGGAGCCGTCAGACTGCTCAGTAGTTGAGCAATGTGGAAGCAAAGGAAGGAGTGCGTGCTGTACTCTCTGCCTCCCCCTAGAGTGCAGTACCCAGCTCTGTGAGTGAAGGTAACGAAGTACTGCAACTTTTTATAGGGCTTATGTGTTTATTTGTGTGTGTGTGTTTGTATGTGTGTGTGTGTATTTGTATGCGTGTGCCTGTATATGCATGTGTGTGTGTGTACATGTGTCTGTGTATACGTGTGTGTGTGTGTGTGTGTGTCTCTGTGCGTGTGTACATGTTTCTGTGTGTGTACAAGTGTCTCTGTTTGTGTGTGCGTTTGTATGTACATGTGTCTGTATGTAAACCTACATGTATGGGTGGTTTGGTCAGGTTCAGGATTATGTGGTTATTATGGGTGGTAGAGTAAGGGGCATTTGAGGTACTGCTGGGTTGGATAGTAGGTAGGATATGCTTGGTAGAGTTATGGTTTTGTGAGGGAAATATTATGGGGGGTTATGGTTGTATGCGGTACATGGTCTAATTATGATGGAGTGTTTAGGGGGACATTGGAGGACCTGATGTAATGTGGGGGGACTCTGGGGACCCTGATGTAATGTGGGGGGACTCTGGGGACCCTGATGTAATGTAGGTAACATTTAGCAGTGTCATTTCCTGAAATAATTTACAAGGGCGTGTTTAGGGGCAGAATTATGGGTAGGGCAGGGTAGGGGTTGGTTGGGGCAACTGGTGGCGAGTAACTCTTAGGGCCTGGCTAGTAGCTCAGGACTTGAAATTTTAACCCTGCATTAAGCCCTTGATGCCGCATTCAAAATTAGCGGCATCACAGAACTGGATTTTTTTTCTGTGGGGCCGCTAATTTGCACACCTGTCTTTCTGCTGGGAGCGCATTGCATGGCACGCTCCCAGCGCAAAGACCGAGGTGTCACTGAGAGCCCTGGGTCTCATTCTAACGATCGGGACCTGGAACTTCCGATTCCAGGTCACCTGATCGCTGTGATAGCCTATGATGATCTTGCATGTTTCAAGACGCACGGACCTGGCTTTTGAGGATATGCGCATTCTGAAGGATGCAATGGATAAGAGGGCAGACTCACTCCTTAAAAAAGCATGGGACTCTTCTCTGACCAACCTCAAGCCGGCTATGGCCTCCACAGTGGTGGCAAGAAATTTTTTGCGTGTTGGTTAGAACAGCTCAGGGATCATGTCGAGGCAGGGACTTCAGAAAGGAGCTTTTGGAGTAGTTCCCGGTCCTTCTAAAAGCCGTGAAGTATATGGTTGATGCATCTGCTGAATCTATCAGAATGAAAACCAGGTCTTCAGCGTTGGTCAACTTGGCTAGGAGAGCCATCGGGCTCAAGACCTGGTCTGGAGACTCAGTTTCCAAGATGAAGTTATGTGGAATCCCCCTTTCTGGGGATCTGCTCTTCGATCCAGATCTGGAGTCAGTGTTGAATGGAACGACAGATAAGAAGAAGGCTTTCCCGTCAAAGTAAGAAGCAACCAGTCAAAGAATTTTCATCCTTTTTCACAAACCTGAAGAAATAAGGAACAGACCCAGATAAGAAGTTGGAGTGTCCAGAGAAACAGGTAAAGGAGGGGTACTCTTCAGACCCTCAGAGTGGCCGTCCAAGACCCAATGACATCTCTCCAAGTGGGAGGGAGGCTTCGGGCCTTCTCACTGTGAGAGGAAGCAACATCAAGTGCCTTCGTCAGAAATATTGTGTCTCAGAGGTACAGCCTGGAGTTCTCCTGGACCCCACCAACCAGATTTTGTGTGACCAGCCTCCCAAGGAGTCAGGTGATGGCCTCCGCAATGATGTCCCTTTTGAAGGAACTGATGCAGCAAGAGGTCATCATTCAGGTGCCAAGAGAACAAGAAGGCCAGGGGTTCTACTCGTACATCTTCTTAGTCAAAAGCCTTCAGGGAAGTTCCATCTAATATTGAAACCAATGCTACTGAGCAGGTCCATTTGGTGCAAGTACTTCTGCTTGGATACAATTTTTTCATTAAGGAAGCTGCTATACCTGGGTTGCTTCATGGCGACTATTGATCTGCGGGACGCTTATCTTCATATTTCGATTGCTTAATCTTCTCAGAAGTTCCTCTGACTGGCGGTCAATCTGGGATTGTCCATCTGGCATTTGCAGTTAAGAGCTCTACCCTCTGGCCTGTCATCTTCTCCAAGGGTGTTCACCAAAGTCATGGTGGAAGCATTAGAACCTCTGAGATTGAGAGGGATTTCGGTGGTGCCATACTTAGACAATCTACTCATGTTTGCAGATAACAGAATGCAGCTGCTGTTGGATCTTCAGATGACTCCGGCTCATCTAAGAAGCTTGGGATGGCTCTTAAATTTGGAAAAATCCAACCTGATTCCGGCCCAGAGAATAAGGTTCCTGGGTTATGTCATAGATTCCGTTCAACAGTGGATATTTCTTCCGGACGAAAAAATAGAAGGATCCAGTCGGCCTTGAAGCAGGTGTAATGCAACCTTTTGGAATCGATCAGAACAGCCATGTCAGTCCTGGGACTACTTACCACCGCCATCCCAGCAGTTCAGTGGGCCAGATTCCATACCGACATTCTGCGAAAGTGGACATATCGGGGATCCACTGGACACGCTTATAAGGATCACTCTAAAGGTAAAGAGGGCTCTTTGGTGGTGGTGAGATCCATCCAATTTAGAGAGGAGCCTGCCATGGTAATTTGCGAAGGCCGAACACTTAATGACAGACGTGAGTGCTTTGGGGTGGGGAGCCCACTTCGGAGATCAGTCGGCACAGGGTCTGTGGTCAAAGTGGAGGCGAAGCTGCAAAGCATGCAGGGAATCCAGGAAAGGTGGCCAGTAAACAGGCAAATCTCACAACGTGAAGGGTGACTTTTCAAGTAAACTCCTATTGGATTTTCAAAAATGATTTGCTTGTATGGCTAATAGAATACTGATGTTATAAAGTGAAAGTGTATGCTGTGATCATAGAACTCCTTTAATCATATACTTGCCTGCAGCATTGCCCGCTGATTTTCGTTATGGGGGCTGCCTAATGCCACAATTTCAGGCTGGTATTTTGAGAAATCCTCTGTGCTGTCTTGTATGGACCTCTGCATCTCCATTCACTAAAATGGAAGCTGGTCTGTCTGTTTTTGTCAGGCAGTGGTTGATTTTCCATTGAACTGAACAGAAGTCGAGACATCCATTCACTAGTATAGATTGGATTATTTCTGAATGCTTCACAGTGAACATTTACTTTGTTGGTATGTATATGTTATGCCCCAACTACTGGAGAAGGGCAAAAGAGGGAAGAAAAAGGTAAAAGCATACTTATCCTTTAAGGATAGGTTCAGGTTGGTGCAAAATGTTCCCAAAAATGTACAAATCTGCAATATTGGCCTTTTTTAAAGAGCTACTGTATCAATTATTTGTGGTTATTGTTGTCTACTAAAATGAGTATTGCTACATTTACAGTTGCAGAATACATTGGCTTTCATAATAGATTACAAACTAAATTTGATTTTCTAATTTAGAATAAAAAAACGGGCTATCTATTTTAATTATATGTTCAGATTTTAGTTTGCATTGCAGTGTTTAATTTCCACTTAAGTACTATATTTCAAGCTCATCAATTATTTAAGTGTGACAGTAGAGGGCAGTAGGCTCCTTTTTAAGTGTGTTCTTTATCTCTTCAGGTTGGCCGCCTTGAGAACGCCATTGGCTGGTACCACAGTCATCCAGGCTATGGCTGTTGGTTGTCTGGAATCGATGTCAGTACACAGATGCTTAATCAGCAATTTCAGGAACCGTTTGTTGCTGTTGTGGTGGGTATTATGGCCCATTTGCATAAACCTAATCATTAACATTTTAGGTGTCCGATAGCAATTTCATTGTTTCAGCCCTGTAACAGTCCTTTTTATTTATTTATGCGTTCTCTTTGTAGCAGTAACATGCATACAATTGATTTAAAAGAGTTCTTAAAGCAGTATTAAACCCAAAACAAAAAATAATATATTGCGGCTTACTAATCATTAGTGGTGACTACAATAGTTTTTCTTTTTTTAGGGTTTTTTTTTATTTACTCTGTTTTGTCCAGGCCAGTAACACACGTCCTGTCTTAGGGTGCCTACACTCTGGATGTAGGAGTGACAGAGATGCCTTTTGGACCGCAGCATTGTCAGTCTAGAGCAGTGGTTCTCAACCTTCCTAATGCTGCGACCCTTTTAATACAGTTCCTCATGTTGTGGTGACCCCCAACCATAAAATTATTTTTATTGCTATTTCATAACTGTAATTTTGCTGCTATTATGAATCGTAATGTAAATATTGATATGCAGGATGTATTTTCAATAGTTCCTTCTGTGAGTGTACGAGAACATTTTTGCGCCTGTCCCTTTTGGATATTTTTGCATGAACTGTCATGACCAGTCCTCGACAGCGGAGTACTAACGATCAGATTATCAGAAAGCGTTTTCGTTTTGCGCCCTGGTTAATCGACTGAAGGAATTTGAAGGGAACGGAAGTTAATCTGATTGCCAATTGAAATTGATAGTAAAATTGAAGTGTGTATGGCCAGTATCCCCCCCTTCCCCCCAGGGATATCAGCCCTCTCCCACACCAAGTCGTCTGTCCTGAGACTCCTTGTATGACCCCGGAAAGTTTGGGATTTGTGGTCGCTGTGTACTTCCCTCTAGCGGGCCGTGTGCCCCGGTGCCAGCCCTCGTACAAGTGCTGTGAGGAGAAGCCTCCATGGGAGGTGAGCGGCTGTAGGGCATAAGCTCTGCGAGTAACCAGATCCCCCCCTCCCCAGAGACAAAGGGGGGCCCGCCACACATCTATCCAGCTGCTGTGAGCAGCTGCCTGCCCGGGGAAACATGCAGGTGCTAGGGCCGCTCATAACGCACAGGGAAGAGGGAGCGGGCCAGTCAATGTGGTGGTGTTAGTTCAGCGTGAGAGGCACGCAGCAATCCGGGAGTGCAGGACACCCTGCCGAGCCCCTCCGGCCGCCCTCACCACTACCTCATAGAGTCTATCTGCATGTGGGCGGACCCGCCTGGAGACAGATAGAGGAGCGGTGTCTCGGTTCCTAAGACCATTGGAAATATGTGTTTTCTGATGGTCTTAGGTGACCCCTGTGGAAAGGTCATGCAACCCCCAAAAGGGGTCGCTACCCACAGGTTGAGAACCGCTGGTCTAGAGGGAGGAAAGTGTTAGATGCTCTAGCAGATTTAAGACACTGATAAATTGAAGCCAAACTCCAGATCAGACCTTTTAGGTTACAGCAACCGTTGTTCCTTTTGGGAGCTGACCATTTTAAGCACCCCTGTCAGTGCTAAATGGGTTGTCTGGACCCTCTAACTGCTACATCTGCAGGACAGCTTGTTCTGTTGAAACACAATAGACTTATCAGCAGGATCGCGGGTGATAATAAAAAGAGCCTAACAAAGAAAACTAATGTAGCCATCACATCTAAGAATTTGGTAAGCTGCAATTTAATATTTACTTTTGGATTTAATACTGCTTTAAATTCTGTTTATTTTTACTCCTTTTGAAATCTATTCACCCTCAATTGTAGAGTAATTGTCTTGTGTGGGAATGAAGCTATATTTTAGTAGAAACCTTTTTTGTTTAGTTTTTGCACTTACAGTACACATACAAACAGGGCTGCTGTTAGAAACCACAGGGCCCCCTCAAAACAAAACACAGTTTACCATGCTTCAGTTACGAATTAACACAATGAGTGATTGGTACCGATCACTTATTGTGTTCACGAAAGGAAGGGGCTGGTAAATGTGACATATTTACCGGGCCCTTCCCTCAGCCTCCATCCTAAAGGATCCTATTGCGGCACTGCAGTTGCCGGGTGGCCCACCGGGTGCGGCGGGGAGGGAAGTTACTGGAACCGATCCCATGTATGGTTCTCTCTGCAGCAGATGAAAAGCCAGCAAGAGGAGAAGAAGCCAGCTTCCTTCTGCTGCAGAGAGAGCAATACAGGGGATCGATTCCAGTAATTGCCCCCCCCTTCGCGCCAGTCACCCTCCCTGCCCCCAAATCTGATTCGCTCAGCTGCCTGGGCCCCATACAGGCGGACTGGTGGTACCCCCTTATCCACTGCCCTGCATGCAAAACAAATAGCAAGCCTCAATTGTTACTTTACATTGTCCTATGTCTTAAAATGTATGTTTTCCTTCTTATGTGGTGCTTTGTCAGCTTCTTTGAGTGAGTGTCACAGCCTGACAAAATGGAGCACAGGTTCACGTTAAGGAACGTTATACAGCCTACAATATAAGGCATCACATGCAGCCACACATCCGATGGTTACCTGTGGCTAAAATGAGATGACTGTTCCTGGATGCAGTGGGGTTGATTCACTAAAACTGGAGAGTGCAGAATCTGGTGCAGCTCTGCATAGAAACCAATCGGCTTCCAGTTTTTTTTTTTTTTTTTTTTGTCAAAGCTTATTTGAACAAGCTGAAGTTAGAAGCTGTATAACTACTTTTTGCACAGCTGCACCAGATTTTGCACTCTCCAGTTTTCGTAAGGCTCCATTCACACCTGTGTGACTTCAAAATTGTGTGATTTTTTTTTTTTTTTTTTTTTTTTTTTTCTTTAGTTTTTTTTTTTTTTTTTGTTTATTTGCTTTTTGTTGTTTTTTTTTATTGCAACTTGATGCAACGGCACAGCTTTGATGCGAGGAAGATTGCTTGTGCTGTATAAAGTCCCGCACAAGTCACATGTATAAAATTCAGGTACAACTTTCATGCTACTTTGGAGGGTTTACATTGAAGTCTTTGGCCCTCAATTCTCATGAGAGTTGGACTAAAGTAGTGCAGGAACTGCTTTCAAGTCGTTGCAACTTGAAGTCGCACGGATATGAATGGTACTCATTGGGAAACAAGGGGTTCGACTTGTCATGTGACTTTGGACCCCAAAGTCACATGACAAGTCACATAAGTGTGAATGGGCTCTAAATCTACTGGATTTGTACAGGCTTCTCAGCCGCAGCTACCTGCAACCACCTGTGATTCCAGCTGTAAGAATCTGGGCATGTGAGTGAGGCCCAAAACCGGAGTTGTAAGTTAGTTACATGAAAGGGGAAGTAAACCAGGACCACTTTTAGTGATGCGACATGTGTATGTTATTTTGCACAAACAGATGAGCTTTTCAGTTTACCAGGTCCTGCTCTTCTTGTTTGTTCTTTCAGATTGACCCAACCAGAACTATATCTGCAGGGAAAGTTAACCTTGGGGCTTTCAGAACTTACCCAAAGGTAATTTAATTACAAATAGTATGTTTTATTTTTCTTTTCTTAGTATGGGTATAATTTATATCTCTTTACTAGAGATGGCACTATTAGACTTTATGAAAAAATATATCCATTTATGCTTTGTGATCCCTGCTTCTATCTGTATGCAAATATTTCACTTTCTTTTTTTCTTCTTTTCTAATCTACAGTCTGTATGTATGACTACATTTTTGTCTTCTTTCTCCTCTTTGTATTTTTCAATATGTAATATGTCATGCATTTCTAAATTAAGCCTGCTTTCTTGTGATTTTATTATATGTGGTCTTTTTATTTAAAACACAAATGTTGCGTTATCTACAACTATCAGGGGTACAAGCCGCCAGATGAAGGACCCTCAGAGTACCAGACTATTCCTTTAAACAAAATAGAAGACTTTGGTGTGCATTGTAAACAGTGAGTATCTACATTTTTTTTTTAATTTTCCTAAGCCTACTGAGGAAGTGTGTGTGTGTGTGTGTGTGTGTGTGTGTGTAAAGCGGTTCTAAAGGCTCAATGTTTTTTTTTTACCTTTTATGTATTCTATGCATGAAGGTAAAAAACCTGTGTGTGGCAGCCCCCTCCAATCCAACGAAGTTCTTGACAGTCTCTGCTGTCTGGGGATTCTTCCTCCTCATTGGCCCGTTCCCTCCCACTGCCGTCATCCACAGCCAGTGAAGCCAATAAGGAGAAAGAAGGGGGTGGTGCCGAGCCACAGCTCTATATCTTATGGATGCATAGACTAGCAGTGCAGGGAAAAGCATGCAGCGGTACCCCCAGGGCTAGTGGCTTTCTCTGGGGGCACTGCTTGAGGAGGAGAAGCCAGGAGCACCAGAGGGGAGCTGCAAAGAAGAGGATCGGGGCTGCTCTGTGCAAAATCACTGCACAGAGCAGGTAAGTATAGACATGTTTGTTAGCTTTAGTGTCACTTTAACCACTTCAGCTCCAGAAGATTTGACCCCCTTCCTGACCAGGCCATTTTTTGCTATTTAGCCCTGCACTACTTTAACTGTTAATTGCACAGTCATGCAACGCTGTACCCATATGAAGTTTTATATCTTTTCTCACACAAATAGAGCTTTATTTTCTATCATATAAACAAAAAAAGACAGAAAATTTTGTGTTTTTTGTTTTTTTTTTGTTTTGTTTTTTTTTTTAGCTTTCTGTTATAAAACATATACAATTTAAAAAATCTAATTTCTACATATAATTACGTAAAAATGTATTCTGCTACATGTCTTTGGTTGAAAAAAAAAAAAAAAAATCACAATAACGTTATATTAATTAGTATGCATGAAAGTTATAGTGTCTACAAACATTGTTATATATACTGGTAGTGTGTGTGTGTAATGGCGGTTATCAGCAATTTTATAGTAGGACTGTGATAGTGTGGCGGGTAATCTGAAACAAACTGATGCTGGGTGGGAACTGACTAACTGCCACTGATCTCACCAGTGACATTAATACAGTGATCAGTGCTAATGTACACTGTCATTGTACTAATGACACTGGCTGGGTAGGGGTTAACATTTAGAGACAATCAAAAGATTAACTGTGTGTAATTTGTGCTGTTTTTACTGAGCAGTGTGGTGGTCTTTACTCCCTGCTTGCAGAGAGAAAAAAAAAACACGGCACATTGCTGCCATCTGTAGAGAGCCCTGCTGTCATTCACTCACCTGATCAGCGGGTCCTGGCCATAAATCATTGGCCGCGACCCGCTGAACAGCTTGTGCTGTAGCAAATGACAGCACAGGCTGGGAGGCAGGCACGCGCGCCCTACCTGGAAATCTTAGATCATGTGCCTTTATGTGATCTGGTGCAGGAGAGCTGCCGGCCCGCAGTAAATCTGCATGAGCATGTTTGCATGTGGTTAATATAAAATGTGGTTTTCCTATGCATATGTGTTCATGAACAAAATACTGTTACTTTGTGCTTTATTATCTGCCTTTGCATTAATTTCTTAGGTAGCTGATAAGCATTTTGATTGTTTTAATTAGGTATTATGCACTGGAGGTCACGTATTTCAAGTCCTCTCTTGACCGAAAATTGCTAGAGCTTTTGTGGAATAAGTACTGGGTGAATACATTGAGCTCCTCCAGCCTCCTTACTGTAAGTATCCATCATGATATACCCATTGAGTCATTAACTAGAAAGTCCCTTGACCAGATTTTGAAACTTTTAATAGGTTATTTCTTGCAAAAACTGGCTTCTACACACACAAGGAAGAGGGAAAGGGGGCTACTCCATTATACAGAAGTATTATATTTTAACTCCCTGATTAGTGTATGCACATACGTAAGCTCGCTTCCTCCACTGGGCCACGTATTTCACTGACCGCTCCGGGTCTTTTACCAACTATCATGAGTTGGGAGGACTGGCTCGCAATCACATGATCACTGTGACTGGCTACCACAGTGATCAATAATTGTACTGCCCACCCCTGTACTCTTTCTCCTCTTGAATGGACAAAAAGATACAATGAGGGTAATTTACGAAGGCTGGAGCAAATAGGTTTTCATCTGATCCAGATTCTATCAGTTTCTGCCTTTAATTTTAAAGCTAAACCGAACAAGCAGAAGTTATGTTTTAGTATATTTACCCCCCCCCCCCCCTTCGCCCCTGCATTAGCACATTATGAAATATTTGCTTTAAAACTAAGCCCTCCAGCAGCAGTGCGCTCTCACTGCTGATAGGGCTGTCTTCTTCACCCAGCATTCCTTCTGGATTTGTGGACTCCAGCTGTTTGAATGGCTGAGCCACAATTATGTCACTCCCACGCATGCGCACAGGAGCCACAGCATAGAGCTCGACCTTACTGGCTGCAGAGACCGTGAATATCTCCTAAACTATGTACATGGGAGATATTTAGGTAGCTTTATTATAAGCTTACCTGTAGGTACAAGTATCCCAGCTGTGTTGACTGCCACTTTAAGGTTAGGGTCAGTGTGATTTTTAGGTAGGATAAAAAAAAGCAAAATGGTGCACTGTTGTTTCAGGGACCTACTATATGAACATGAGGTATTGGTGCTATCACCAGTAGAACTTATTTTCTTTGCTGGTGTGTTATGGTAATGGCAAGAAAAAATAAAAATACAGGTAAACAAAAAAAAAAAATTCCCTATTTTCTTTCTTTTCATAATCAAAAAAATAATTCAGGAGATATCCAATAACATCACCAAATGAAGGCCCAGTTTTGTCCTGGGGAAAAAAAACAAATTCATCTGTATACACTAAGCAGGTGCACAGATGTGTACAGTTTTCTTTTGTTTTGTTTTTTTGTTTTTTTTTTTTTTACTAATGCATACTAAAGACTTGTTTTAATGTTTGTCCTTTAATGTGGACCTTTAGGCATTAAATAAAGGGCGAACATGCAGGATTTTTAATGCAGAACAGACCTGCTTTGTGCATTAAAGCTACCTATCTACTGGTCCACTCCTGTACAGTGAGCTGCGCAGGCCTGGCTCTGCTCGCTGTACAGCTTTGGCGATGCCGTATTTGACGGAACTCCTGCGCATGCGCAGGAGTGACGTAATCCTGCCCGGCCAATTATGGCAGCTGGCATTCTGGACCTGGAAGCTGACCGCCCGAAGATGTCAGTGGCCAGATGGGGAGCTCTGGGGCAGCGCGGAATCGGAGATGAGTATAGTTCCACTTTAACCACTTGCACTCCTGAGGATTTACCCCCCCTTAATGACCAGACCTCTTTTTGCTACTCGGCGCTGCACCTAATTCAACTGATAATTGCGCGGTCATACAATGCTGCACCCAAATGAAATTTACGTCCTTTTTTTCACACAAATAGAGCTTTCTTTCAGGTGGTATTTGATCACCTGTGCGCTTTTTATTTTTCACGCTATAAACAAAAAAACTGAAAATTTCGAAGAAAAACAATATTTTTTACTTTCAGCTATAAAAAATATATAGTAAACTCAAAATTAGTTATAAATTTAGGCCAAAATGTATTCTGCTACATGTTTTTGGTAAAAAAAAAATCCCAATAAGTGTATATTGATTGCTTTGTGTGAAAGTTATAGCGTCTACAAACTATGGTATAGATACTGCAATTTACGCCATTTTTTTTGCTATACAGCGCTGTGCTAGTTTAACGGACAATTGCGTGTCATGCAATACAGTACATAAATGAAATTTATGTCCTTTTTTTCACACAAATAGAGCTTTCTTTTGGTGGTATTTGATCACCTGTGCGCTTTTTATTTTTGCCGCTATAAACAAAAAATTTTTGAAGAAAAATTTTTTGAAAAAAAAACAAAACAATTTTCTCATTTTGGTCATAACAAATATCCAAAAAAACTAAAACTTTGTCATAAATTTAGGCCAAAATGTATTCTTCTACATGTTTTTGGTAAAAAAAAAAATCCCAATAAGTGTATATTTATTGCTTTGTGTGAAAGTTTTATAGCGTCTACAAACTATGGTATAGATAATGGAACTTACACAGCTTTTACTTTCTTCTGACTGCTCATCACATTTCTTGAGGTGCTAAAATACCAGGATAGTACAAACACCCCCAAATGACCCCTTTTCGGAAAGTAGACACCCTAAGCTATCTGCTGAGAGGCATATTGAGTCCATGTAAGATTTATTTTTTCCAAAGGTTTCTGGAAAAAAACTTTTTTTTTTTACAAAAGTTGTCATTTAAATGATTTATTTCTCGCACAAGCCGTGGGTATTTGTGGAATTACACCCCAAAATACATTCTGCTACTTCTACTGAGTATGGGGATACCACATGTGTGGGACTTTTTGGGAGCCTAGCCACATACAGGAGCCTGAAATCCAATGATCACTTTGAAAGCCTGAAGGTGCGTAACTTCCTCATTTCACTTCCTCAATACCTATCACAGTTTCGAAGGCCCTGACATGCCAGGATAGCACCAAACCCCCCCAAATGACCCCTTTCTGGAAAGTAGACACCCCAAGGAATTTAAGAAGAGGCATAATGAGTATTTTGCAGATTTCATTTTTCTCACAAGGTTTTGAAATAGAAAAAAAAATAGAAAAAATATGTTTTTTGTTTTTTTTCTTCATTTTCCAGAAACTTGTGGCAACAAATGAGATCTGCAAAATACTTACCATGCTTCTTATCAAATTCCTTGGGGTGTCTACTTTCCAAAAAGGGGTCATTTGGGGGGGGGGGGGGGTTGGTGCTATCCTGGCATTTCAGGGCCTCCGAAACTGTGATAGGTAGTCAGGAAGTGTGATGAGGAAATAAAGCCCTTTAAAAGCCTGAAGGTGCTTATTGGATTTTGGGGTCCTGTACTTTCCTAGACTGCCAAAACGTCTCTCACATGTGGTACCCCCATACTTGGGAGAAGTAGTAGAATGTATTTTGGGGATTAATTCCACATATACCCATGATGTGTGACCAATAAATCATTTAAGTGACAATTTTGTGTAAAAGAAAAAAAAAAAAAAAATAATAATATAATTTTTTTTGTCTTTCCAAAAAATTGTGCTAAAAAAATTAATTCCTCTATTGATTTGCTCAGCGCTTTACAATAGAACGGGAGACAACACAGAATACAGTTCAATACAAGAGGGTTAGGAGGGCCTGATCCTGGGAGCTTACAATCTAATAGATATGTGACAGACCAAGATGTACTAGAACCGCTGGTGCTCGCTAGTTCACCAAAAGGTAGAGCGGCACTAGTACTGGCATTCTGCTGCATATGAGAGTCATCAAAATTTACTGACAAGTGCTAACAGAGATCAGGCCTGATTCTGTGAACACTGCAGTTTTGTGTGCAATGTATCAAGTGACAGGGACCTACTGACACTGCACTTGCTGGGGGAGAAGGGGGGGTAAGCGTAGGGGCTAAACGCAGGTACTGGCACGTGGCGGGGCTGATCCTGCTAACGCTGCGTTTTTGGGGACGTTATATTAATGTGAACGTTGGTATAGTGCTGACCTGATCAAAGATATTGATCCGTTCAGACGCTATACTAGCAATGGAGGATTATTGTGCATGAGCGTGTTCCTGGCAATCAAGGGGTTAAATGTGATGACTGGTGTACTAACGGGCAATCTGACGCCATCTGGGAGGGGTGTGAAAACCATGGGAGCGCAAATTGTGTGTGTGTGTGTGTATGTGTATATATGTGTGTGTGTGTGTGTGTGTGTGTGTGATTTTTGCGCACCCATGCCGCCCTGTAGCAGTATTTCTGCTATAGGGTGGTCAGGAAGCGGTTACAGAAGAGGTTTGTGTTACGGCGCTGCATTACTTTAACTGCCAATTGCGTGGTCATGCAACACTGCACCCAAATTAAATTTACGTCCTTTTTTTTTTCCCACAAATTGAGCTTTCTTTCGGTGGTATTTGATCGCCTGTGTGTTTTTTTTATTTTTTGTGCTATAAAAAAAAAAGGCTGACAATTTTAAGGAAAAAAAACAATATTTTGGACTTTTTGCTATAAAACATGTCCAGTAAAAAAAATTTAAAAAATCAAACTTTGTCATACATTTTTGGCCAAAATGCATTCTGCGACATGTCTTTGCTAAAAAAAAAAACCCAATACGTGTAAATTAATTGGTTTACGTGAAAGTTATAGCGTTTGGCGTGAAAGATACTGGGTTTTTTTTTTTTTTTATTAATAATGGCGGCGATCAGCGACTTATGGCAGGACTGCGGCGGACATTCTGACACTGGGGGAACTGACTTGGGGTCACTGACATCCCCAGTGACACCAATACAGTGATCAGTGCAAAAAAAAAAAAAACACTGACACTGTACTAATGGCACTGGGGAGGAAGGGGTTAACTTTTTTATTCAATGAAAGGCTTAACTGTGTGAGGGGGAGTGTTTTTAACACGGGGGGGCGAGGGGGTGTACTGCATGGGAACATGCTGATCCCGAGAGATAAACTCTTCTCTCTGGATCAGCATTTCAGGAGCTGACAGGGAACTGACAGAAAGCAGAGCTACTGCAGCTGTGCTCTCTTCAGTGATTGCCACTAATCACCGAGACACAGCCGGTAATGACCGGCCATGACCCGGCGACTGAAACCCACGGCCGCAATCAGTGGGACAGCTAGGGCAGTGGCACGCCTCGCGTGCGCCCCCTACCTGTTTTGCAAAATCACGTTTTAAAA